TTTTTCAAAAAAATCTGATTTTTCGGCACTTTATCGATCATAACTTTTTTACCAGTCGGTCAAGAATTTTGTTTTTTTGGTATATTGTAGCCTATTTAATGCCCTATCTAATGGTACCAAGAGTAACAAAAAGTGACCGTCCCTTCATAAGTTATAGGGTCCGGGACTCAATTGAGTCAGGACTCAATTGAGGTGTACCGGTGAATTGCAGTCCCCCTATAGAGGTTTTAATTTGCATTTGAAAATGCAAACTGTTTATTTGATTAAGCAAGGCTGAAAAAATTGTACAGTAAAATACTCGTACCATATTGTTGTAACAAGCTATTCTACAAAGGCTTACGCCCATACACAGGACATATACATAAATACAATAATTTTTATTAAAAATGACTGATTTAAACGTTTAAAGGCGATAGATTATTTTACACGACTTCTTAATGATTATGAAGGATTGTTAAAACGAGATTACCGACGTTCGGCAAGACCAGGGAAGCTTTCCTTTATTAATAGAAGAATCGAGGATTATAGACATATTGTCGACGAGAATGAGTATAACCAATTTATTGGAGGCCATGGTTTGGTTATAGCTCAGTTTGGCCAAGGACGAGGTTTGGACGATATTCCTCATTCTTTATGGAATATTCGGTAAAGTTTATATATAATGTTGCTATTTTTCTGATCAAGAGTAAAGCAGCTGAGCTATAGCTACTTCTCTCCTTTAGCTAGTGCAAAAGGTTAATCGGCGACTGGGAGCGCACCAGCATCCTCAGTAGACCGGACTGGTGTGTTAGCCATTACACCACGCCGCCTACTGCATAGTTTTAGGAATTAAATAGCTATATGCTTTACACAAGTAAATATAAATTAAAATTTATAGTCGGAGAGAATTAACTCAACTTGAAGACTTATTAGTTCAAATTTTACAAAAAGAGAGGAATTTATATCTTTATTACAAATTGATTGTTTTGGCTCGAAGATTGATTTTGTCATTTATCCAAGATAATGCAAATGCATACATTGCTCGTTTTGAAGAGTTGCCCATTCTTGTAGATGAGGACAATGATCCTTATAGGTAATGTTTTAAATGAAGTTTCAGTTTCATAAACAATATTTGTGTGGAGTAAGGTTGGCGGATCCGAAAAAGGCTGGATATCCGGAAATTTTCGGTTAGGATATCGGATCCGGATATCCAAAGATTTCCGACTATCAGCCAACCTTAGTGTATAGTAGTGCCCTTGTGCTAATCAGTTTCACCTTTCGCTTTCTATAATCATCCGTTTCTAAAATCGGCTGTAGTTTAGTATACCTGAGTTTTAGTTCCGATATAAGACCCATACCATTCGATTCGTCTCGGCGAGCTGAGTCGAACGGTGCCACTCTTCAGGTGCGGTAATGCCTGTGGGCCGAGATATAGGTCCCCGAAAATCGAAAAACCTTAGGGGGAGTAAGCACAATTTTGGGATAAAAATTCGATTTTTCGAAGAAACTTATTTCAGGGATAGCTATCACTCGAAAAATCGAATTTTTCGACCCAAAATTGTGCTTACTATTCTCCCCCCTATGGTTTTGCGATTTTCGGGGACCTATATCTCGGCACACAGGCATTTCTGCACCTGGAGAGTGGTACTGTTCGATTCAGCTGCCAAGACGAATCGAATGGTATGGGTCTTATATCGGAACTAAAACTCCGGTATACTAAACTATATCCCTAAAATCAGTTTCTTTACACTCATAAATTATTTTAATCAAATTTTAGATTACATCTATCAATTTTTGAATATGTAGCTACTTTCGATTATTATGAACTAATTGCAAACAATTTGCATTTTATGTTGAGAAATCAAGCTTTTAGCGTTATACGTGGTGATTTAAATAAGTTGTAGTTGTTGTATTGTCTATTTAAGGTACTGACAATTTGTTCAGAGACCTTCGAGGGGACGAGTTAGACTTGGCAACACATGGAGGATATCCTGTTTATTGTCGATACGACACAACTGTGTTTTCTGAATACGTGCCGATTATTCACACATACCGAAGTAATTTCCTAAATTAAACAGGCCCAAATATCTAACAGTTCTCATCTTCTTGACTTTTGTTTTCACTTTTTAATTTGTTGACTAAGCTAGGGAAGTAAACGCCTTATAATTTGGGTCAGGATTTTTAGGCAAATGCCTGTTTTTTCTTAAATAGGCCTGATGCTGAAACGTTCAAACCCGGTGTTATTTTATTGAAATCTGCTTTTTAACTACTTTTATCGTTGCCTAAAATTGCCTATTTTAACTTTTTCTGGCAAAATGTCCTATTTTCAGCCTATTTTGCATATTTTTCGCTAAAATTTGCGAATTTTAGCTCATTTTTTGGGAAATTTGCTTTTTTAGTGCTAGGCGCCAATTTTTTAGTGCCTATATAAAACTTTAATGGCTTTTAATTTCTAAAAATTAAAGTATACGGTATTTCATCGGAAATAACTACGGAAGAATTTGGGGCGTTTGAACCATTTCGTATTCAAGGAGAGGGCAGACCAAATAATACCTACAATCTATACCACCTCTACTATTCTGAATATATCACAGAACGCCCATATCTTCAAGTAAAACTTCAACTACATTATATAACTCAACCATTGATTGTCCAAATGCATCCTCAAGCTATAGTTTATAACCATGAATTAATGGAAACAGAGGAAATCCGTGAAGGCGTGACAATTCAACCTCAAATCCGAGAGGTGTGTTTTTATTTACGAATCCGGTTATAGTCACTGCAGAATATAAGGTCCTTTCAGATATAAAGGTGTATTCCTCCAAAATATTTTTACAAATTTATGCTTTCCTTCGAATATTTTTACTTCAAAAAATTCCTTCAAAAAGACTTGACAGTGTAATTTTATAATGTTCTTAATATTAATTAGTTTTATATCCAATACCCTCCACTTGGAACATCTGGAAGCGTTGGTGAAAGTAGCCAACAAGCCGGTGGAAGACGTCGCCATCGTAACGGAGGAAATGGCAATGGAGGGAATGGCAATGGAGGGAATGGTCAACGCGGTGGTGGACGTCGCCGTATTAATGGAGGGAGAGGAGGAAATGGAAATGGCGGAAATTGAGGAGGATCGAATTGAGCTTGAAAGTATTGAAGAGAAAAGATCCTTTTACAAGATTAAATATAGTTGAGAAAATCGCTTTTATTGAATACTATCCTCATTCACAAATCCTCTATTAGAATACCACATCTTAGCAGACAAATAATTTTACAAAAACTTAAAATTCCGACGGAAGTTTGTTTGTCCGTTTACTTGCAAAAGTGATATAAAAACGTATAAGAATAACCCCAATCATCGGGTTGTGATTATAGTTTGTCTAATTCCTTTTGGCTAGTCTGGCTTCTTTCGACGATGGTTCTATATTTCCATCTTGTATGAAAAACCTCTATATATAGCCCAAAGATGCACTTCAGTCAGAGGTGAATCGTAATTCCTAGGCTGATTTCCGACAGTTCCGGCACTTGTCATTTCCAGTTCACCTCTGATTTTAATTTCCGATACGTTTTCTTATTTTTTCTTATTTATTCCTTCTGGATATAGTGTAGTGTACCGGTGGTAAAAGTTCGGGACGTGACATATGTCATTCGATTCGTCTCGACGAGCTGAGTCGAACGGTACCACTCCCTACTTTAGGAAATAATTCTGGACCGAGTTATAGGTCCCGAAAAATCGAAAAACCAAAGGGGGGACCAAGCACATTTTTGGGGTGAAAAATTCGAATATGCAAATTATACCTCATTCGAAAGAGCTCGTCGAGCTGAGTCGAATGACACCAAAATCAGCTTGATTGAACAAGTTTGAGTCGAGATATAGGGCCCGAAATGGTCAAAAACCATAGGGGGGATTTTATGGTCAAAAATTCGATTCCACAAATGTTAGCTCATTCGAAAGAGCTCGACAAGCTGAGTCGAATGACATCAAAATCACCGTGATTGAACAAGATTAGACAAAGTTATGATACAAAAAACAAAAAACCTAAACCTATGGAGCGTCGGCGAGGCGCTTGTGCAAAACCCCGCGCTTCGCGCGGGGTTTTGCGGCACGCGCCTCGCGGGGAGTCTACGGGCGCTGGGTCTGGGCTCGTAACATAAACCTATTCCTATCTCCCTTGCTCTAGACGTATTTGGGGCCTCCGTAGCAGCAAAAATCTCCACAAATGACATAGGTAAGGAGCTAAAACAAACGGTCATAACTTTGTCAAATCAAGTCGGATTTTGTTGATTTTGGTGTCATTCGACTCAGCTCGACGAGCTCTTTCAAATGAGGTATAATTTGCATATTCGAATTTTTCACCCCAAAAATGTGCTTGGTCCCCCCTTTGGTTTTTCGATTTTTCGGGACCTATAACTCGGTCCAGAATTATTTCCTAAAGTAGGGAGTGGTACCGTTCGACTCAGCTCGTCGAGACGAATCGAATGACATATGTCACGTCCCGAACTTTTACCACCGGTACACTACACTACAGCCTTCCTTCTATCTATTCTATTTTTCTACTCCAAGTGTGTATCTAATAGAAGGTCCGGCTTCAAAACATTTAGTAAAATTGTGTGGTAATATAATAGAGGATTTAGGGTATATAAATTTGTTTCTTTTTTTTCGGGTAGATAAAAGTAAAGCATATTTTGCGGTAAAGAAAATTTAATTCAAAAAATTTAAACAAAAAAAATAAAAAATGATCCAACGTCCATTTTTCCGTGCCGGGCTAACTCAAGGAACAGACAGAAGTCAAGGAACAGACAAATCAAGGAACGACCAACTAATGGAATATTTTTAATTTTTTCCTTGAGTTGTCTGTTCCTCGAGTTGTCTGTTCCTTGAGTTGTCGTTCCTCGAGTTGTCTGTTCCTCGAGTTATCGTTCCTCGAGTTGTCTGTTCCTCGAGTTGTCTGTTCCTCGAGTTGTCTGTTCAATGAGTTAGCCCTCACCCCATTTCAGAAAAATTTCCCTCCTCCCGTTCGTTTTCAACTAATTTGTAAAACATCCAATCCCAACTTTTTCCCTTCTTCAGCACTTATAGTCGTTCCAGGAACTGTTGTTGTACTTAATTTGGGACTTTGTATTTCTGTTTTAGTCCATTCTCTAGGCTCAACTTCAATTACATAATTGAAAAACGTTGTTCCAATGAAAATGCAGGCTGTGACGAGTAGAAAAACATCTGCCCACTAAAAATATTTTTTTAAATCTTTTAAAAATCTTTTTTTATTTCCACCTCTTCAACAGCATTTGTCGGTGACAAAAAATTAATAATCATTGGGAGAATTCTGAAATTTTGAAAAATAAAATTAATTTTGGTACTTATCGGTTATACGCCCACAAAATGAGTGTCAGCTGAATATGATCGGCGTTAACTTTTCGATGCCTAATCCAATTCAAATAAATCTTATATCATTCAAAAGCCCTCGATAAGAGGAATCTATCTTTTTTTAATTAATGGATAAGTCTGATCACTCGTTAAAAACCCGATAAATGTGAAAAATTCAAAATATCTGGACTTATCGTGCTATAACTTCTTAATGAGCGATCAGATTTGATCTATCCTATAGAAAGTAGGTATCGCTTATCGAGGGCTTTAAAATGACATTAGATTTAGTTGAATTGGATCAAGCATCAAAAAGTTATCTCAAAATAATTTCGGATGGCACTCATTTTGTGGGCGTATAACAGAAAAATACCAATTAATTTTTAATTAAATTTCAAAACTCACAACATAATAACGCTAAGTTGGATTGTTGTCCAAGAAAATATAACATGAGAAAATTGACTTGACATCTTATTTTAAATTAATGTTTAAAACAGATTTTTTAGTATTAATGTATTTTCTCGATTAATTACCCTGGGGACCTAATATTTCAACGAGGGGATGGGGAATTGTTTGAGGGAGAATAATTGTGAGGCAGAGAAATATTCAGAGGTGGCTAGCATTTAAAAAAAGGAAGCAGCCCAACACCCGAAACCCAGGCTATTTTTTTGGCAAAAGCCCCAACCAGAAACCCAAAACTCTACCAAGGCAAACCCCAATTCCCGACGATCCCATCCCTGAAGACTCAGGGTGCTACACTATTTAATAGAGCTGTCCAAGACCGAAAACTTTCCAAGACTCAAGACCAAGACCGAAAAAACCCAAGAAAAAGTCTTGGAATCTAGACTTGAGACCAAGAGTCTTCGATAGCTACCCTAATTAAAACGCTCACAAACAAATAAGCGGGGGTTTAAGATCTATTTAAAAGAGAGAAGATGAAAGCAACGTTCCGGTAGCTCAGTCGGTAGAGCGGTGAGCGAAAGCGCTTAGCAATAACTGCCACTAGGTCACAGAATCGAAGCCTGCCCGTGATATTAAACTCTTCCCTCTCTCTTACTCGAGAAAATACGATATATAATTTCAATTTCACAACTTACTAGTTGTGCCCCCTTAATTAATCCAACAGTATTTAATCCACTAAAAACAGTTGCAGCAGTGTAAATACATTGCATTAAAGTAACATTAACAATCCCAAATTTAGGAAATAAGGACATTGCCAAAAAGCAGGCGCCCATTAAATACTTTGAAAAAATTTTAAATATAAACACCTCTCCTTTTTAAAAAAATACCTGAGAGATGCTAGCAAAAAATATAACTTTAGCTTTTTCAGAAACAGAAGTCAAACGATCACTAATTTGGCCAGCAAAGTTTTTCCCAATTAAAGACAATAAAAAAGGTAAAGCAGAAGCTATGCCAGTTTTGGCTACTTCCATACCTAATGCCTTTAAAATTTAATTTTTTTAATATTTATTCATTTTTAGGCACTCCTACAGTATACGGCAGGGTTAGACAAAACCAGTTAACACCCGTTAATTTTTCCATGTGGCGGGTCTTTTTTCTTTTTCCTTTCTCTATTCTTTTTGCCCCGCCACAGGGAAAAATTAACCGGGCGGTTAACTGGTTTTGTCCAACCCTAGTATAAGGAACCGCAGTTCTCTGACCATTATTATTGGCACCAAACTTCAGTTGATCCACGCTATATTTATGAAAATAATCGTAGTATGGAGTAGTGATGCTCGGGTATCCCGACTCCCGACTCGGGAAAATTTCCCGAGTTTTTGGCCTCCCGATCCCGACTCCCGGTGTCAATTCCCGACTAAGTCGGGAAATTTTTACACCCTTAAGAATGGCTTTTTCAGGCAAAATTATATTTTTATTTATAAAAAATGAAGAAATCTGGCCTCTTGGTCTTCCAAAATTCTCAAAATTTTCGCCTGCGGCGCTGAAAAGGGAAGATTTTTGGCTTTAGGATCTTCCAAAATCCTCAAAATTTTCGCCTGCGGCGCTGAAAAGGGAAGATTTTTGGCTTTAGGATCTTCCAAAATCCTCAAAATTTTCGCCTGCGGCGCTGAAAATGGAAAAAGCTGTGGAGTTCTAGTATAGAAGATTTCTGCGATTTACTAGGATTATGGTGAATCTGAAGAGATGAGGGATTTGCAGTAATAAAGAGAGATAAAAATGAGTGATATCAATGGATTTGAGTGATTAATGTTGCATAGGGGGTGTTAATACTATAAAGGGGATATGAAGAGATATGTGGCTAAATCACTAAAATTCCAACAAAATTGAACTTAAAAATATTTTTCTCTGTGTCACTCTTTTTTCTCTAATTCACACGAATGTAGTCAAATTTTCAGTGCCACTCTTAAAAATTTTAAAAATATAACCTTCTGTTCTGGACACGGGTGTCCAAAATTTTCGGTTCGGATATCGGATTTGAATATCCGAGGATTACCGACTATCCGACATTTTATCGGAGATCTTCTGGGACGATGATGATGATTAATCTTTTTTTCTCGTGATAAAGATTTAAATTTAGTATTATTTTTCAACTCCAATGTTCTCTAAATTTTTGCCTGCAGCGCAAAAAATGGAAGAAATCTGACTTCTTGACCTAAAAGTTCTCAAAATTTTCGCCTGCGGCGCTAGTAAGAAAATGCCTGGCTTCTTTACCTTCCAAAATTTTCAATATTTTCACCTACAGTGAAAAAAAATCGGAATTTTTGGCGCCGAAGGCGGCAAAAATTTTTTATTGCTGTTTCCCGACTCCCGATCCCGACTCCCGAGGTCATTTCCCGACCCGACTCCCGTTTCCCGATTCCCGGGTTTTTTCTTCTCCCGAGCATCACTAGTATGGAGTAGGATTTTATCCCAAACGCTCGGGGGCGGGTATGTCGAGGTACGCGGTTTTAGAATTTTCGAGGCGGGGAGAAAATATGGTCTGGGTACGGGGTCGAGGTGCAACTCTAGTATGAAGTCAAAAAGGAGTAGTCTTAATCCATGGAAAAACCAACATTTGAGCTCATAATGGTCAGAGAACTACGGCCCCCTTTAAACGGCAGGAGCGCCCATTTTTAACTTTACTTTATTCAAATAAATCGGTCCAAATTGCCAAAATACTTGAAATGCCAAATTACTTGTAGCACTACACAAATAAACGCCCCAAAAGGCTGAATCTTTAAGAATTGCCATATAAAGGGTTTTTTGTTTAAGCTCCTTTCCCTTCCTTCTACGCCCAACAGAAATATCTTTTAAAGACTTTCCCTCTTCTATAATTGACAATTCTTGAGCAGAAAGGAATCTTTAAGAACAAAAAAATTTTTGAAATATTTTTTTTGCAATTTTTTACTCGTGTTCTCTAGGAGAATCTCTATAAATCCAATAAAAAATTGTAAAAAGGAACAGAGAAATTGTTCCCAATAAATAATAAACTGCTGGCCATCCAAACATTTCTGACGAGCAAAATTCGGCAGACAAAGGCATTGCAGTTATTGGGCCAAGTTGAAAACTGGAGGTTAAAACAGCGAGGAAAATGCCAGAATTTGATAAGGGGGACCAATGTGCGCTAATTGACCCTAAAAATGATTTTTAAAATTTAAATACAAAAATGATCCTTAAAAATATATCGATAATCATATAGGAAACCGTATTTCATGAATTAATACTCCCCCCTTAAATAATACTCCACGTCAAGGGTGAGCGCATTTCGTTGATTTCTGGCCTTGCGTTACATTTGTTAAAATTGCCTAACGCTCAACCCTTCTCCCCTTTAGAGGAGGGTTGAAAAATAGTACTCCCGGGAGTACTATTATAGGAAATACGGTATATTGTGTGTTACTACAAGTTAAAACTATGGTAGTACCCCGAGCCTTTGAGGGCGGGATCGTCGGGGATCAGGATTTTCCGGGGTAAAGCCTTTGGGGTACAGGTCGGGGTTTTTGCCAAAGAATAGTCGAGTCGAGGGCAGGATCAGGTTTGTGGAAGAGGTGCTAGCCCAGTTACTAACAACACCAATGTTTTGAAAAATTTTTAATTTTCAAATAAAATTTCAAAAAACTCCCACCAGTAGCTACCCAAATTGCTGCCAATCCAAATCCTTGGCAAATTCGCAAAATCAAAAGTGTAGGAAATCCCCCCAAGTAAATACTTGGTACAATTAAAAGTGTTGATAATGAACTGATAAATCCATAAACAGCCAGTAATTTTCTTCAAAAAAATTTTTTTTATTGGAAAATATTAGGTCTCCCGCATTATATCCCCACAGATTCCTTTTCTTCTTTTTCCCAATTTGATCGACTATAACATTTTTAATGCTTGATCCAATCCGAATAAATCTTATAACAATCAAAGGCCCTCGATAGGCGCTATCTTTTCTCTAATTGAATGGATCAAGCCTGATCGCCCACTAAAATTGTATGAGTCGATAAGTGCAAGAAATCGTTGTTTTTCACACTTATCGGCTTGTAACGTCTTAATGGTCGATCAGACTTGATCCACCCGATTAGAAGAAAGATAGCGCTTATCGGGGGCTTCCGAATAACATAAGATTTATTTGGATTGAATCAAGCATAAAAAAGTTATAGCCGATCAAATTAGGAAAAAGAAGAAAAGGAAAATGCGGGGATATAACACGAGTACCAGGGCCGTGCGTCATGGCGTTTGCACGCTACTCGAAAATTTTGGCGTACAGCCCTGACGAGTACTTCAAATATTTCTATTTACCTCAAACCAAATCGAGTATAAATTTTAGTAATTGGTAAAGTGCCCATTAATTGTCCAATAGCTATAGCTGAGAAAAGCAAACTTTGCTCGTTTGAAGTAAATAAAGGTTCAAGAAATTCAGCGCTTATTTTTTCTGTTGAATTTTGTGACAACTTTGAAGGGAAAATAATTAAACTTGTTACTAATTTACGCTCAATATTTTGAGTAAATATTTCACCAAAATTTAGATATACTACCTCTTTTAAATACCCCCACTTTCCACTAGAATTACTCCTTATTATTGGATTGTCTAATTCATTAAAACCAGGGTTGCCATCGAGAAAAGGTCAAGTGTAAGTACAAAAAGTTTAATTCATAAGTACATAGTGGGAAATTTTCCAATTTTAAGTACGCTACAAAAATTTTTTACAAAATTTTACAAACGTCTTTGACGAAGAAAAATTTCCCTTAGTACAGCCAAGTATGGATAGCAACACTGATTTAAACTATGATAAGTTAATTTAATCCACAAAGGTAATTTTCAGTCAATTCACCTACAGAAAGAGAGATATTTCCCACTAGAGATCGGTCTGGATCTGGGTCCAGTCTGGATTTTTCCTAGATCAAGAATCCTGTCCAGGTTACTAACTTAGATCCATATACAGGATTTTTGAAAATACCAGATCTCTACTTCCCACCAATCTATAAATTTTAAAATATAAAAAATTCACAGTTAGTCCCTCATTATTCACCATTTTCACTTCTTTATACATACAAATAACTGTAAAATTAAGTGCCAAGGGATTGGCAATTAATATTGACAAACAAAATAGAGAAACTGCCAAAATAACAAATCGGATGGGGATTAATTCATTTATTTTTCGATGCTGACGTTTTTTGCCAGAATTTTGTATTGTTTGTTGTTGGGTAACAATATCAATAACAAAATTGTGTGGAGGAAAGGAAAATTGTTGTTGTTTTTGCTTCTCCCCTTTGTAAGACAAAAGAGGAGAAGGGGATGTGTTGTTCATTTCTTGAATAACTGGAGGTGTAAAGCTGTGATTTTCATTTCTGTAAATTTCAAATCTCAATTATTTTTGGATAATTAAAACAATTAGGTAAACAAAGCTTAAAAAGTCGAAAAAGTGACAGATATAAAATGGTTAAATTTGAATAATCGAATTTTTGACCCCGAAAATGTGCTTGGTCCCCCCAATGATTTTTCAATTTTCGGGGACATGTAACTCGGCCAAATGTGGTTTCCGTAGAAAAATTTTGATGTCATTCGACTCATAACTTGAGATAAGATTCTGGTGTTTTTGTTTGGTAGCCTATTCATGCCTTTTACCCGAGGTATAGCGTTTTGCAAATATTAAAAATTTCTGAAATGTAATTTGAAATTTTTAAAATAAATTTAAATTATTGTAGGGTTATTGTGGACAGTCCTATACCTAACAGTCAACCATGTCTATATGATACACTTAATAGTAGATACACTTCTATTTAAGAAACATTTTTTGAAAGTTGGTTATCCATTGGATGTGAAGCTGCCCAAACAAATAACCTCTATTTAAGAAACCTTCATTATAAGGTACGAGCTTTTTGAACCCAAGAAGTACCCAACAATAAGGGGTTTGAAGCAGTATAAAAGAATCTGAGTTATGAAAATGTAGAGGGAACTGAACAGAGTCAACACAAAAACCTTTTTAAGTTAAAGGAGAATGAACCCAGTTTATTTAAGTTTTGTAAGAAATGAAGGAGAACATTCTAGGTCAAAAAATATATAAATAATCAGATAAATGGGCGGAGGACAAGTACATTAAATATTTTTAGGTACATAATGGGTGCAACTCTGAGAAAGGTTGAGTACAAAAATGGGTTAAAGGGAGGGTACACAGAAAAATGTGTAGAAATAGGGGGGAAAGGGAGCAGGCCAACCTACCGCGAGCCCAACCTACCGCCGAGGCTATAACTACGTTCAGAATTGTCGAATCCGGGACGCCCTGGTATGTTCGATTCAGCTCGTCGAGGCGCATCGAACCATACAAGGGTGCCCCGGATTCGACAATTCTGAACGAAGTTATAGCCTCGGCGGTGGGTTGGCCTCGCGGTAGGTTGGGGTGTACACGGGGGAGAACTGGATTTTAAACCAAATAATCCAAATGCACCCACGCCAATAATTTAATCAAAAATTCGTCTAGAAAGACGAGAAAGACAAAAGAAAATTTAAAAATATCAAAGAAAGTTTGCTTAAAAACAAGGTTTTGGCATTGGAATTCGTTGACGTCGATAAGTTTGGATGGTCATTTTCTTCTCCCTTTTTATGGGTCAAGCAGAGAAAAAAAAATTATTTTTTTGCATGATGCAAAAATGGAAGAAGGCAAAATTTTTGTTTGTTGATGGACAGAAGCAATAAACATACCCAACACAAAACCCTTCTTATCTCCATTAAAATGACCTTCCTCGTGTTGTGTACATGCACTCAGAAAATGAAGAGTATTACTATTAATTTAGTATAGTCAAAGTACATTTATTAAACTAAAAGGATTAAATTTGAATTTAAATTTTGATAGTAATCCCCCTATTTCTACACATTTTCTGTCCTTAACGGTTGTAAGTACACCAATTGTGAGGTCCAGGGTTTATCCGAGATTTGTCTCAAATTTGACAAGCACAACAATTCACTAAAGTTTATCCAAAATGGAAAGTACAATCTAGGGGAATGTGGATTTAGGACTAGATCAGACGAAGGAGGTCGGTGACTAGACGGGCTAGTTATGTATTTAATAGTTTAAATTACTGGACAAGTGCTAAAAAGGAGCCAGAACTTCCTTCGGATCAGGAATCCGGGGTCTTCATGATTGATCTTTGGATCATTTCCTGGCAATATTTTGCGTACCGGATCCTGTCAGGTTCTTTCACCGAACCAGTAACCTAATCCGAATCAGGAAATGTCGATTTTACCTTTAATATTTTAAATTAGGGTAGCACGTCTAGCCTTCGGGGTGGAGTGTCGGGTTTGGGTTTTGTCGGGGTAGAACCTTCAGGGTTCGTGTCGGGTTTTTGCCAGAAAAAAATTCATTGGGGGTCGTGTCGGAGTTTTCGCTAAAAATTTTTTCGGGGGACGGGGTGCTACCCTATTTTAAATATTTTCCTATTAAGAATGTAACTTTCACCTACATATTTTTTGACAAATTAAAATTTTATTAAAATTTTAAAATAAAACACTTTTTAACAATTTATTTTTTATTAATTTAATAATCTCAGCTTCTCAATACCCTCCACTTTTTGGTTGGTGAATATCTCCAGTATCTAATTCAGCAATTGAGGGTGCAATAATATTTTGAATTCCACATGAGGATGGGCAATGACCTCCAGATTCTCCAGCATCACCTGGCGCTCCTATTGGCCCTGGAGGTCCTGGCTCTCCTCTTTTTCCTTTTTAAATAACTTTAGGGGGTATCTAAATTAATGTTTTTACCTGGTGGACCTGGCGGTCCTGGCTATAAATTAAAAAATTTTTTGAGCTATTAATTTACTCAAATACCTCTCCAACGGGTCCTGGAGGTCCGGCATTTTGTGAAGGCGTGCCATTGGGTCCAGGTGGTCCTTTCGGTCCACGCGGGCCGGCAGGACCTGGCGGCCCTTTGATTCCGGTTCCACCGATACTGTCATCTCCGGGAGGACCTTTCATGCCGGGCTCTCCTGTTTCTCCTCTCACACCAGGCAATCCGGCATCACCAACACGTCCAGGCTTCCCTGGCCTTCCCGGAAGACCTTAACAAAATTTAAAGTAATTTGATTCTCAATTTACTCAATACCTGCATGACCGGGTTCTCCTGGCGGCCCAGGCCGTCCTGCTTCTCCTTGAGGTCCTCTGTTTCCTGGAGGTCCAGCTGGACAGATCACGCTATGAGATGGTAAAAATTTGAATTATCTGGATTAGAAACCATGGAAAGCTGGGCTCTGGTTCAAGAGGCACATCCAGTCCATCAAGTCCTTCAAAGTAAAATTTAAAAATATGTATCTATGGTTGATAATCACAAAACCAGGCTTTCCCGGCCGTCCAGGTTGTCCATCCACCCCATCCTCTCCATTAACTCCAGGCGGGCCTGGAGGCCCAGGAGGGCATTGTAATTGTACACAGCTTGTGCATTGCTCTTCTGCCCCGTAATCACCACCAGATTGGCGACGAACACGACTTCCCGATTCTTCAAATAATAATTCTTTCCAAATATTTCTAGAGGCGAACTAGGAGAATTTTTAGAAGGATTTTAGAGGGGAAAACAATTTTCTACTTTAAAAGCATCCATTCGACGTTCAATATCCGTAGAGGCAGTTTCTAGCCGATAATGAAGCAAAGGAAGCAATAGAGCCATTACACCAAGACAAAAAAGGCTAATACCCACAGATCCGTAAGCAATCTTAATTGAAGGCTCAGAAGATATTAAAGGAAAATTTTTCTTATTTTGATTGTTAATTTGTTGAGGAGAAAATAAATTTGGAATCATTTTAATTTTAATTAAAAAATAATATTTAAAATTGTGGAATTTTCTTAATGATTGTTTAAAATTGTTTGGAATGACCTAAATTAGTGGATGACTGGATTTATTTACGTGTGATTTGACCTAAATATTTTAGAAGGTAATTAAGTATATCGTTAACACTGTGGATAGAAAAAAAATAAAATAAATTTTAATTTAGTGAAAAAGATAAATTTTGACTTGTCCGCAAATTTATTTGCGGATTACTAACACTGGAACTAACGTTTTGACAGACTTCTCCCATTCTATACCCAAAAAATTAATATTAATTTTTAAATTTAAATTTAGGAAAAAAAATTTGAAATTTATTCCACGTATTTGCAGAGATATTTTCTGTTTTAAGAGAATGTAAAAATTCACCGAGCAGTATTTAAAACGCTTGGGCGGAAAAATGTTCTTCAATAAATGTTGAGATAAAATTATCGGTGCCCCTTATCTCAGTGGTAGAGCTCCTTCCTGTATGTGGTGAACGAAAGCGCCTAGCAATAACTATGAGGAGGTCTCAGGTTCAATCCTGTCCGGTAGCTTAACTTTTGTTAAACTCTCTCTAGAATAATTTCTCAACTTTTATGTATTCATTCGTATTACTTTTGTAAGTTACAACAGTTAAAAAAGGCAAAAAATATAAAAATAATAACGTTCAAACTTAATAAAAAGTATTTAAAAATTTTATTTATTTTTCCTTTTCTTTTTCTATTTTTTGTCCCCAAAATTTTTAGTATGGAAAGAAAAATGTTCTTCAATAAATGTTGAGATAAAATAATATCCGTGGTCATAATTTTCACGCAAATTATAATTCCAAACAATATTTGGATTGGAAACAGAAATTAAATTGTTTGGTAATAAATCATGTAAAAATGGATCTTTTGAACCCTAAAAAGAAAAATTGAAGTATAAATAATCTTAAAAAGATTTGTGAATTTTTAAAAAGCTCTTTTAATGCTTTTTCGGTTTTATGGAAAATCATATCTCGGATTAAATTAGATTTAAATTGGACCAAATCTTTACACCAAGTTTAGAACCGTGAGGGAAATCATATATAAAATATGGCTTGGAAATGGATACAGAAACGGACTTGGATAAGTTCAATATGCCTGCAAATATTGTCTCTATCCACCGTAAATATGCCGATACGGATACCAAAATCCATGTCCGAAATATTTTTAAAAAATGTTTCCGACCGAAAATATTTTTTAAAAATGTCAGAATTTGGAAAAAAAATGCCGAAATAAGATGGATAATTCATTGGTCTTCAAACATCAAAAAAATTGGAGAGGAATGAGGGACCTTTGAAAGGTCAAAAAAAACTCTAGAACTATCTTAGAGTCACAAAATCTAGAACTATCTTAATTCCTAGTTTTTTTTAAACATTTTTTGATAATTCTGGTTCGAACCCCACTCATGGAAAACATTTTTTAAATTAACCAAAAAAATTTTATTTCTAAAAAACCCACCTGGTCAAAAAGTATTTCAACTTTCGGTCCTTGATATTTTGACGCTAAAGCCACAGAATCGTACTTTTCCCATTCTAAAATATTTTCGCCTTCTAAAGGACCCAAAAACGCTTCCAAATGTTTATAACCAAAATTTGGAGTTTTTTTCATTGGATTACAAATTGGGGCAAAAACAGAAATTGATTTGAATAATTCTGGATGTTTTAATCCAATAGTTAAGGCTCCTTTAAAGGATTAAAATTTGGAGGGAAAATTTTGGCTCTTGTCCAGTTTAAGCGTCCAATCACACTTTATACGTCCAATAAACCTTTATAAGTCCAATGAAAGGTTTATACGTCCAAACAAATTTTTATGCGTCCAATGGAAAGTTTATGCGTCCAATCACATTTTTAAGTACTCGGGTCTATGTGTGTCAAAACCTATGGTCTGTAATATCCGTGTGTATCAAAACTCTGGGTGAGAGAGCCCTCTATTCCCAGATTTTATGGTACTAAATTGAAGAACCGAGTAATTAAAATGTGATTGGACGCAAAAAATATTATTGGACGCATAAACTTTCCATTGGACGCATAAAAATTTGTTTGGACGCATAAACCTTTTATTGGACTTATAAACCTTCCGTTGGATGTATAAAGGTGCGATTGGACGCATAAACTGGACAAGAGCCAGAATTTTTTCTTAAAAACCATGCCCTCCCATTGAATGTCCAAAAATCCCGCAAGACTGTTTTATAATTAATTCTTTATATTCTTCAAAAATAAGAGGAACAAATTCTTTAACCAAATAAGAATACATTTTGTAATTTTTGGCAAATTTTGGTTCTGTTGCATCCAAATAACTTTAAAAATTAGATGTAATTCGGAAAAAATTATAAGGGCTGGAAATTGAAAAATGAATGAATTTTGGAGGTTTTTCCAGATTCGGGTTTTGTTTAGTTAGAGTTGTTTGACTGAGCAGCGGTAGATCTGAATATGCACCAGGGATACCCAAAATCCGAACTCTTTTTCAACCAGAAACCCAATCCTAGACACTTTTGGAAATCTGACCCTACTTTATCCTCGCACGACCCATACGTGGTGCACCCTTAGGGCCTAGTAAATACAAAAGGAAAACAATTCAACAAAAAAAACCCCTTACAATCCAGCAGCAACACCAAAATTAGGATCCCAATCAATCCCAACCGGAATATCTTCCCCTCTTGGACTTGTATCTGGATTCACAACAATAACCTTAAATTTTGAGGCAAACCGCTGCATTCCACTTTTTATTATAAAATTTTCTTCAGTACACGTTAAACCTTTAAAAAAGCAGGGAAAATTGTCTCAAATTTAATAAAAATACCCGAAAGCCAAAAAAGAATAGGCACACTAACTGGCTCTTTGGAAACACAACAATCCGGTAAATAAATTCCAAATTTCATTTTACAATTTAAAACATCGCTAAAAAATTTAATTAAAAAAAATCCTCCTTCGCTAGACAACCTCATTTTAAGTTACGTTTTTTTTATTTTGGTTAGTCATTAGAAGGTGTGGATTGCCTAAGCGATGCTTTGATATAGGGTAGCAACTCGAGCCTTCGATGGCAGGAGCGTCGGTTTCCGCGGTAGTCGTCAGGGACCGGATCGGGGTTTTAGAGTGCTATCCTATATACTCTCATTATAAGCGTGATTTACAGCACTACGGGCGCATCTTATACTGATAAATTTTGGGTAGTCAGGGGATGCTGGAGGCATAAGCTTAACCCTCTATTTAAGACACTCCTTATCTTTAAGGAATAAAAAACCTAAAATGTTCCATAACATTTTGATATCCACCAAAACAACAACTTGAAGATATTTGCTTCAATTTTCCGGTCATGACAAATTAATACAACAAATAATTCCTTTTTGACTTAAAAATTGTCAGTTTGTCTTTAAAGAATTGTCTTTACTTGATTAAAAAAGATGTAAAAATTTAAAAAAAAATATTAAATGTAAATACAAATAAAAACTAAAAAAGAGGAAAAAAATTAAGAATTTTATTTATAAAATATATATTTTTGTAAACAATAACAAAATAAAATTTATAAAATAAACAAAAAAAATTTTTTTGATAGTTTCTCTTATCTCCCCTCACTTACACCTACATATCTCTCTCCTTATCTTCACCACCACCATTTACTTTTCATTTTTCCTTTTTACAAATTATCAAAAGAATATACCGTATTTATTCTAATTGAATGACAAAATTTCGGGGCATTGAAAAATAGAATGACTGTCATTCAATTAGAATAAATACGGTAAGTATTAGTGTTTTCTTGTAAAACACCGCTTTGTCGGTCCCAGAAAAAAAAGAAAAGCAAATGGAGGGGAGGGATAAACAATAGCAAGTTTTTGGCACAAATGAAGACTTTTTCTCCGCACAGACTTTTTCCCAATAAATTATTATTAGAGTTCGAAATTTGAAAACGCCAATTCCGTCCCGGGATTTCAAATTTTTTTTATCCGGGCCGGATTTTCGGACCAAAATCCTGAAAATCCCAATTTTTATTTATCAGAATACCCGGATAAGAACTACCGGATCCCGAAAATCCGGTTCGTTTTGAACTCTAAAATTATTTTAATACCTAGAAGTTAACAAAAACCCAGAAAAAATATTTTCCTTTTTCAATTTTCGAAAGATCTCATTTTTTCCCTTTTATTTCTTTTACCTTTAATTAATAATAAATTTTTTCTTTTAACCTTCTCTCTCAATTCCTCAACATTTTCTTCCATTTTTGCCCATTCTAAAACTAATCTTCTTCCATACAAGTGTGTTGAATGCATTAATGTTTCCATTGCTCTTTTAGCATCAGCGGGGGAAATAAATTCAACAAAACAAAAACCTCGTCCTTCACCGCCAGGCTTTAAAAATATATTGAAAAAAAATGTTAATCAAAAACCTAAATATGTATAAGATACCCCTTCAGAATTAGGATTAGATACAAACTTCAATTTAGGATATGGTCACTAAGTTGGGAATAAGGTTGGGGGCCCGGTCCGGCCCGAAAGATCGAGTCGGGCATCGAATTTTGGCCCGAAAAAGACTCGGTCGGGCCGGCTCGAAAACCCCAACCTATGGGTTGCGGAGCCGTTTTTAAAATCATGAGCCGATTGAGAAAAAAAGGATTGGGTTTCGGATCCTGGTTTCAATTTTTTTTGGGTCGAAAAAGGTTCGGATATTTGGTTTTGAGTTACCTGATACCCCATCCCTTGTGTTTAAGCGATAAACCTTCCTATTTAAAATAGACCTGATTATAAGGTAAAATTTTCTTAACTTGCAAGGGGCATCTTATATAATGAGATTCGACTTATTTGTATTCAAATTAAAAAGAAATAAACCTTTTTAGGTATCCTAACAAATTTAAGTTCACCAAAAGCAGAGAATAATTGAGAAATTTCTTTTGGGTTAGCCTTAAAATTAAATTTTAAATAATTTAATTTTAATTTAAAAAACCTGGAAGGGAACATTACGAACTAGAATTTTTGTTCTTTCCTTTTCTTCTTCATCTTTCTTTTGGTTAGTTGTTGATGTGGATTCTTCCTCATTTTCTTCGTTATTTTCCGAATCAACAGATATTTTTGTCAAAACATTACTGAAAATTTAAAAAAATCAAAAGTTTCAAAATTGAATAAAAATAGTCAGCAATCACAGGAGAATAACTAATAACTTGGCTAAGGAGGGATCTTTGTAAAATTTCAATTTTTTTTAACTTTGGGGGCTCCTGACTCATTCTTTCTAAAAGTATTAAATAAAGTCCTAATCCTTTTTAACATTTTTTATTTAAAATAAGTAAAAAGTTTGAACTTTATCATCCTCTTTTTTCAATGCTTCCAAACTTTTCTTCCCAAGACTAACAATATTTTAGTATTTTGTGTTTTATTTTTTCGAACATGCCGGATTAATCTTTAACTATTTCTACTAGATATAAGCCACAAGGGAAAAAATTTTGGACAAAAATGAAAAAGGATTAAACCTAAAGTATTGGTAGACCCCTCCTTGACTTCTTTTAAAATAATTCAAAAACAAAAACCCTTCTTGTCTCGATTTGTGATTTTCATCAAAAACATCAATAGGCGCCCACTCCAAATATAAAGGCCTTCCATCGGTTATTGAAAAACGTTTTGAATAAGACAAAGTTTCAAAAGCTTTTTTAGCATCCAATTCATTTGACATTTCAACTAATGCACTAATTCCGTGATCTTTAAAAAATTTTTAGAAAAATAAAAAATTAAAAAAAACCTGGGGGCATTACAACATTTTTGATTGCTCCAAAACGTGAAAATATTTTGTTCAATTCCTCACTTCCTCCAGGTTTCCCATTTAAATTTTTAACCAAAATAACTGTTTTTGAACGTTTTGCAGTTGAATTAGGATTTGAGAATACATCCAATTTAACTCCATGATCTAACAGAAATTTTTTTGTTTCGCGAACCAAACGAGTTTCAGCCATTGCTAGACGAACAGCAGCACTAATTGTAAAATTAAAAAATTAGAAACACAGTTGGACCTCTCATTAAAAAACACCCCTGGGAATGAAAATTGCATTTTTAGTATCGGTTAGGGTATACGGCAGGGGTGTGCAGAAACAGACTTTAAAAAGTGAAACATGACAGATGAAAAGGCGAAAGGAACACCCATGTATGCGGCTTTTTAAGGGTTTGGATTTTCGGCGTTTATGGCATTACGGCTCCCCCATCGCCTAAGGTCACCACCCCAAAAAAATTATCAACCAAATTCTGAAGAACTTATCTCAAATTGAGGTGTATCTTATATGTGGTGAAGGACAGTATCTCCTATCTCATAATCAAATTCATACTCAAAATAACAAATTAAAGTTAAAATCCCAACCTATTCTCTCCTTTCTCCTCTAACAACAATTCCCTCTTTGTCACTTGGTAATCTTCAGCCAATAAATCAGCTACAGCATTTGTTCCCAAAAACAACGAATTCCAAGTCTGTTTTAATTTTTCAGCATTTTCTCCTCTTCGGTTACTTTCCCTTTCTGTCTGGAATTTTGACAACGTTTTCTCGCCAAGTTGAATTGGTTTTTTGGTATTTTCTTCACCAGCAATTATATGAAGTACTCTTCCCTTAAAATTAAATAAATTTGTTTAAAATTTAAAAAGCTAAAAACTCGATTTAGAAAGGGATCCTGTCATCGTTATGATTTTCCAAAAAAAAATGGGCAGAATAAAATTGTGTATGTCAAATATAAATAGAGTTCTGCTCCCCGAAATGGGGTTTCTCTTCATAAAGAAAAACAAAGCAAAACTTATTGCTAGTCCATTCTTTGCTTATCACAGACTGCTATGATTTTTGAATATTTCTATGAGTTATCGAAATAAACCCGGAGAGTTAATTGTAAGTCATAAAAATTTTTTAAAAAAAACCCACCAAAAAGCAATACATAAATTATAAAAATGGATTGGATACCGGACTTGTGAAAAGGAAAAAATTGAGATAATGACTGAGAGGTTAAAATCAAAAAAATAAACCATAAAAATTTGCCCATCCAATTTTTTCCAAGCCTCCAATGCGTGTTCAGGAAACATAAAAGAACATAGCGCATATCCCTTGCATTGCCCTTCTCTAGTTATAATTAAATTAATTTCTGCCAAAGTTCCAAAAGGTTCAAGTAAATCCTTTAATTTTTCTTCAGTACAAGAAAAAGGTAAATTTCTCAAAAACAGACCTTAAAATAATTTTTTATTTTTGAAAAAAAATTTAAAAATTTAACAAACGTCCAGTGTCCATAATTTTTTCTTCAATTAATTTATCAACGGAAGATTCTTCTTTTGAATTTTCTTCTTCATTACTTTGTCCATCACATTGTTTCCTTATTTTACGTAAAGTAAATTCTCTTGTTAATTGTTTTCGTTCCTCAGGGAGTGGTTTGCATAAATCAATCTGAATAAAAATAAAAAATTTTTGAAGGCAGGCATTTTTGCGGAACTTTTCTGTGACCTTCCATACATGTTTTTAGTAGAGATCGAAGATTTTTGAAAAGCCTAGGCCTGCTCCTGGACTCTGGGTTTTGTTTTATTGACCTGGGCCTGTAGTCCAGGCAAAACTTAAGCCCAGGAAAAACCTCAGGAAGGTCAAAAACTTGCCTGGACCTAGACTCTGGGTCAGTAAAAACCCAAGCATTTGTCCAGGTCCAGCTCGTTCATTAGTTTTTAGTATTTTTTGTAACGTCATTTATAGTACTTTTACATAAAACGTAATTTGGAAGAACCTTTGGGATCTAAATGAATTGACCAAAAAAATTGGAGAAATTCTCCTTTTGATATAACCAATTGACGTAACAGAATAAAAATTAAAAATCGGAGAGCCCTTAAAAATTGTAAAAATAAATCGGGGAGTCCTTCAAAAATTGCCCAAAATACACGTTTCTCTAAGTGTCACTTATCCCGAATTCAATTTAAAAAAATTCTTAAAGAAAAACCTCCAGCTTCTTTCCCCTCAAAAACGTTCCATTTAATTTTTCAAAAGCAGTTTGGCAACTTGAAGAATTCTCAAACCCAACAAATGCAAATTTTATAGCTCCACTTTTATCATTTATTTTCAATTTAATGTCAGTAATAGCTCCAAATTTTTCAAATAATTGACGCAATTTTTGTTCATTCCAACCTTTTTTCTTTCCCCCTCCAGACAAATTTTTGACAAAAAGTCGACTACATTCAATATTGCTAGTAGAATTTTCTGTAGAAGAATCAGTCATTTTTAAAAAATTAAGGCTAAATTTGAAAAAAATTGAAATTTATTTAAAAATATTGAAGGGATGGCATCGAAATGGCAAACCCATAAATTCGAAAAATCACCTAAACAATTAATAATTTAATAAACAATTAATAAATAATCTGACAAGCTTAATACAAAATGAATAGAAAAAAATGTGTCGGGCTAACTCACGGAACGGAAAAGACGGAACGACCAACTCACGGAACGACCAGAACACGGAACGACAACTCACGGAATGACCAAAAAGAATAATTTAATAATGGTTCTTTTAAATATTCCGTGTTTTGGTCATTCCGCGAGATGGTCGTTCCATGATTTGGTTCCGTGACTCGTCGTTCTGCGAACTGCCTGTTTCGTTAGTTGAAATTCCTCGAGCTAGTTCCCACCCGAAAAAATATTAAAAATAATTAAATACTAGGTTTTAGATCAACTATTGAATTTTCCGACAAATTTTCGTTTTCCAGAGCAATTTCAAAATATTCATCGTCTTCCCCGTCTGTATTTCTTTTATTGTGACCCAATTTTCTAGTCAATTGTTCCATTTGTGATCCGAGCAGATGAACAATATCCAATATTTCCTCGTCTGTTTCATATGACGCTCCATTAAGAATGATACGAATATTTGCATAATTAATGATATTCCTTGAGTTTGGTTTTCGATTCGAATTTGTATGGGTCTAAAATGTGTAGTTTAAAATTCTTTATCAATTAATACCAAGTTATTCAATTCAATGTCAACAACCTCGTTAAAGTCAAAAATGTACTCAGGCAATCCAGGATGGCGAAGACGATCCTGTAAATTAAGATCAGGTACAATTTGACAAGGTGTAGCCAGGGGGCTTCTGGGGCTATAGGCCCCCTAAAATTGGGAAAGTGCAAAAATTTTAGGAGGAAAATTTTAAAATATCAGCAAAATATCGATGACTTACTAAAGCGTTGTTGGTGCGAAAGACATCATTCATTGCTTGTACATGAACATTCCAAAAATCGACAGCAAATTGTGCAGGATAATCAATTGGTAAATCCCAACGAGGAGTTATTATAGAAGATAAACGTCGCTTACAACCACTGCTGTTTGCTTCGGTTTGACCAAATATTCCACTGGCAGGTTCAAAATTTGTAGACAGCGAAGTTGAAGCAAATGAGCCAAAACGAGCTAGAACAAAAAATTATTTAACCAAAAAGGAATATTTACATTCAGCAAGAGATGGAGAAGTTGTTAAACCAAAGCCAATATGAGAGGCGCGTTCCATTTCAATTCCTGGTCTGAAAGCGCTAGAACCCAACTGATTCTCAAATTCTGTCATTCCAATGTAGGCGCTACAAAAATATGCAAAATAGTCCTCTAATCCAAGTGGAGATTCCTCCATTAGTAAACAAAAAGACCGCCGCACATGTTGAATTGGGATTAAAGTTAAAGCAAGTAGACAACTAAAAATAATTTTAACGACGATTAACGAAACAAATCTGACCGAAAACATTCCCTTGCCGATTTCCCTTCAATTTCTCCATTGTTCCATAGTTGTACAAGTCCCATTTCTTCCCACGTTTTATACAAAGACTGCGCAAAATCGAAAAGACTTGAATCATCCTTTTCACATTCACTATTCTTTTCCTTTAGACTTGTAGCTGTTCCTATTTTCAATGGTCTTTTAGTAACACATCCAATTGCCTTTTTGCGCAATCTTGCTGCTCGTTGTTGAACAGCGTTATCCGTGCCAAATCTAAAACAGAAGAAAAAACAATATTTGAACACAATTACTTTTCCCTTACCTAACTAACAATTCCGTATCTTCAGATGTCCCTTTGCGTAGCTCTTCGGCTAAATTCCTAGTCTTCACTGTTGGATTTGCTCGTATTCGTTCATTGAAAACCTTACGTCTCTTCTCGACCTTACAAAAAATTCCGGTAAAATTAAACTTCGTACCCCCGTCTTTTTTGCTTCCACGAAGTCTACTAGTCCAGATAAAAGTCTATATCTAAAAAGCAGAGCCGAGTACTTATCGCCGTAGGTAAGGATTGAAACACATGGTTTTTCACACTTTGTGGGAGCACAAAAAAAAGGGGGGATACGAAGCTCAATTTTACCAAAATTTATTGTAAAATTGAAAATAAAAACCTCAAGCCCGACCGGATCTCCAACATGATCATGCTCACCCATAATAATACCTCGAGCATGATCCCCCTCAATAGAAAGCACACTAACTTTTGCTGAACAAGGCCGATCGGAGCAGCGCCAGGATTTGCAATTTTTGGATGTAAATATATAGCGATACGCTGAAATTTTTTAGTGATTAAAAAGCCAAAGTAAATAACTCACAATTATACCACAACGACAATCCTCCTTTTTGGGTACAACCCACATCTAGTTCAACAACATTTAATCCTTCTTCTTCATCCTTTCTTTGATCTATTGGCGCAATATTAACTTCTTTCTCTTTTTCAACAATTTTTCGTCTTTTCATCAATTGACATAATTTGGAATGAATTCGTGATGTCATTTAATAACCAGAATCTAAAGTATTACAGATAAATATTTCGTTAGAATAATAATATAACAATCTGCTCCAACATTAAGCCTGCAAAGAACAAAAAGATTGACATTCCCAGTTTGGTATTTCGACGGCTTTTGGAGATTTGGCATTTTGGCTGTTTGGTATTTCGACGTTTTGGCATTACGGCATTAGACTGAAAAATATTTTTCAAATATCAAAAATTTTGAAAAAAATAAAAGGCAATCCAGAAGAATTGGGGTCCCTGCGAAAAAAAAAGTTTAAAAATAGGAGAAATTATGTTTCTAGGTAATCAGTATATTTCTTTACCCTAGAAAAATACTTTTCCTTATTTTTAAACTTTTTTTCACAGGGACCCAAATTCTCCTGGATTGCGTAATAGAAAATCAGATATTAACAAGAAAAGTTTTCAAACTTTACAAAAAATAAGGGATTAAAACCCAAAATTAATCGACTATCAAATATCAAAAAAATATTTACTAATAATTAATTATATTTAAAAATTATCAAAAAATATATTCCCAAGATCAATTAAATTTACTCAATTTATTTTCACCCTTTCTTTGCTTTTTTTGTCATTCTTTTTTGTTCCTTTTCTTCCATCATTTTTGCCATAGGATCAGCTGAATGAATACGAGTTAAATTGTATGCTTCTCTATCAATTTCTGAAGGTTTTTGTGTTGTTTCATCATCCAAACCACTGTGAAATTTGCGTTTTCTTTCTCCCTTAAATTTAAAAAAATATAAAATTTTTAATTAAAAAATATCTTCTAATACCATTTCTGCCACTTCTTTCCCCTGTCTTCGTTCATTTAATTGTTTTTTAATTGCCTTTTTCAATTCTTTAGAGAATTTTTTATTTGAACCAGAAGCAAAGGATAAATCTTCTGAAAAGAAAAAATTTAGAAAAAAAATTTTTAGGGTAAATATTAAGATGTAGTTGTTAATTAAAGTTAGGGTTTTCGGACCGGGCCGAGATTCGAGTCATTCTTTCGGGTCTCATTTATCGAACCGGATCGACCGAGTAATTTTCGGGCCAGAATTATATGCTCGACTCGATCTTTCGGACCGGATCCCTAACCCTAATGTTAAGTATCCTTTTTCCGAAAGAACAAAATAAATTATTTTAGGAAAATATAAGTCAATTCCTGAATTCTGAGAATTTAATTAAGAAAAGTAATACATACCAGGGTTGCCGCCCGAAACCCGTACCCGAAGATTTTTTGTACCCGCAGCAACACTGATAACCTGACCTGATACCCTAATATTCTACCAAATTTTATGAAGAAAAATAAATTATAGCATTTTATTGTACAAGGAATTCTTATAAATTTTAATTTAATCAACATTTATCCTTACCATCAGACGTAGAATCCCCATTTTCTTGATTAGAATTAGAATTACTAGTAGAAGAGGAAGAACTGTCCTTTCTACGCCTCTTACGTTTCCCTCCATCATCTTTTCGTTGTTTTGCCTTTTCTTTTTTATTTTTTCGCTTTTTTCGTTTTGTTTCCCGACGTTTTTCATCACGCAATTCTTCAAAAATTAAATAAATTTTTACTTTAAAAAATTAAAATCCAAACTTTTCTTTTTCTCATTTTCCAATTGTTCTTCATAAAGACGTAATTCTTCTTCATCAAGTTCAATATTGTCTTCATTATTTTCATCATCCTCAGATTCCTCCTCAGAATTTGAATTAGCAACACTTAAATTGAAATTTAAAAAAAAATTAATGAAAAATTTAGGAAAAGAAACGGGGGGTTTTTTAATTAACGAAAACCCAGAATTTTCTAAAAATAAAACTCGACTTCGATTTACAAATAACATTTAACAACTAATTGTGAGAACAAAGTTTTAATTAAATTACTTAATAATCGTGTAAAAGTCGAAAACTTATTATTTATTTTTGGTCCTAAATTTAAACATAAAATGTTATGGGAACTCTAGGGTTGCTTCAATTTTACATAAATTTTGGTCGGTTCATAAGGTCCCATAAGAAAATCTTTTCAGAATTAATTTTAAACGGCAAACTCGTCTAAAACAATTTTAATTGCTATACACCAAAGGTTGAATCAAAAAATTTTTTTCTAAAATTTCTTCACTTGACATGTTGAGAAAAAATCGAATCGGGTTGGGTGCTGAAAAATTCCTCGGATTCGGTTCCGGGTCGAAAAAAAGGCTGGGTTTCCCACCCCTACTATACACTAACAATAAACTTTTAAAGAAATTTGTTTCATTTTTCTTTTAAACATTTAAATTAATTTAAAAAACTTTCTATCTTAAACCTTTTAACATCCGAAGATTCTTCCTTTTCATTTTGCTTCACTTGACAAGAACTTCCTTCACTTCCTTCAAAAACATTTTTAATTGCATTTTGCATTGCATTAGAAGGCTGTAAAGTTTTTGTTGATTTTTGTTGTTCAATTGAAGGGAATTTAGCTCCCAGAGGCCCCAATTCTGCTTGTTCAACCAAAATTCCTTGCTCACCGAGACAATAAGAATTACGCAAAAATTGATGACAACAACGATAACCCCAAAGACCATCTCGCCAATAAGAACCCCAAACAGAAGTGTGATTATTTATTAAACTAAAATTGAAAAAAAATTTAAAAAAAATTTCTTTTTAAGTAAAAACATACGCATCCTCCTCATATTTGCTTTTAACTGCAGGGCCTTCATCTCCTTTAATCACTTTTCCTTTACGATTATATTCAACATAATTTTCTGATTGTGCAAGAAGCAATTCTTTTGGTGGGGCGCTAAGATGCTCCTTTAAAATAAAAAAAAATAAATATAACGGTGAACAACTTCTTGTTGTTTCTCTGGGATGTTTAATTTATCAGTAGGCCTAACCAGGCCCTTAACGAAGAAAGAATTTTGAGGGGCATCATTATTGAAAAATTCGGCTCCAAAAAATTCTTTTCGGCGGCACAGACAATTTTAAGAATTTTAGGGGGTCAAAAAGCCAGATTTCTTTCATTTTTAACGTCACATGCAAAAATTTTAAATTTTAGCAAAATTTAGTAGCAGTATGCGCAAAAATTCATTTTGTGACCACTACTCTAGCAAATATTTATTTTTTCGATTTTCCACTGTTATTAAAAAAGACGGATGTCAAAAATAGGATTGCAGATTTCAAACTAAACATTTTGTTCGGTTAACCAGATAATTCGATAAAAACTCAAAATTAGTCCCAAACAGGCCCGTAGCCAGGGGGGGGTGAGGGGGGGAATTCCCCCCCCCCCCCCGAAATGGGAAAAAGGAAAAAATTTGGGGGAGGGCTGGGGCAAAAAAGTGAATTTTTTTGGCCTACCGGGCCTCTGAAATTCAAAAAATTTTCGCCTGCGGCGCTGAAAATCAAATTTTACTGAAAATCAAATTTCTGCGCCAAATTTTTAGCGCCTTCGGCGCCAAAAATTTGGCGCAGAAAAAATTTTCCCCCCTTGGCCCCCCCCCCGAAAAAAAATCCTGGCTACGGGCCTGGTCCCAAAGGAAAAATAAAAAAATTTCAGAAAATTTAAACTCAAAAAGTAAGTCTCCAACAAGAGAAAATTAAAAAAATATCAAGCAATTTAATTGAAAAATATCAAACTTCTCCTCCATATTTTTCCAACAATTCATTCTGCACACTAGATTTATTCTGTTCTTTTTGTTGCTCAAATTCTCTTTTAAGTGATTCCAATCGTGTAGGTTCAGCAAGTGAATGAATGTCAATTCCTTTACAACGCGCTTGCCACGCAAAAACTTGTGCTTCATTTGCTTCTGCAACTTCGCCTGTATAACGCATAAAATTTTCACCAGCATATTGAGCTGCTTCTTGTTCTTTTCCTGGCATGTCCTAAAAAATTTATTTTTTAAAACAAAAAATTAGAGTTTGTCCCTCTGAATCTTAATATGTCAAAAACGGGTACAGCCCAAGTAGCGCGCGGCCACAACGGCGCAAAGCATAACTTGTTTCAGGATTTATGAATCTTACCAAATTTAGTATTAAACAATTCCTCTCATCGAGCTAAAGAGCTTAGCATCCAAATTTATAAGGGCCAGAAATTTTCCTGCTAGTTATTAACTTGCATCGTTATGGCCGCGCATCTATTTTGGTGTGTCCCGTCAAAAACATGCCTATAAGTAAACTAGTGACAGTCTACGAGCAAACAACTAGAAGATTTTTAGAGAACCAAGACGTAAAAAGAACGGAAAAGGTTCAACTTAATCTACAAGTAAAATTTAAATAAACCTTAAATGGATTCTCTCTCATAGATCGACTTTTTGGATCATAAAAAGGCCCATTTGTATCCAAATTGTGCAAATACTTCGCAGTATCTTCGCGAATTCTTAAATTTCGAACTGTAATACGGGTCCTCGAATCCATATCAACTGATTGTCCCGGAGCAGAAGCATCTTCCGCGTAGATGTCCTCATCTTGTTCTAAATTTTTTTCTTCCTCAGTTCCTTTCAATTGCTCTGCTCGGATAAGTTTTCGGGTTTCATCCATTTTCTCATATTCTTGGACAACAAATTTATAATCGTCAGCATTATAACCGTTCCATCGGTCACGTTTAGCATCCCAATCCAAAGAAAGTTTAGGGAGTGTGTGATCATCCGGAGCAATATTTGTGTTGGACCATTTGGCTCCGACGACACGAGGCTTCTCAAAACAATCTTTTTTACGATGACCCATTCCTCCACAATTTTCACAGGCACCTTCTCGATATTTAAAGGCGACTCGATCAGTTGTTCCCTAAAATTAGAAAAACGTCTTAAAAATAAGGAGAGCAAAATTATAGTCGTAAACTAATTTTTGAAGTAATTTGAAATAAAAACTTATAAAATCAGGAATTTTTAAAAATTTTCCGAGACCTAACTGAAATAAATTAAATAAAAAATACAAACTTTAGGATACCACTCAGAAATTAAATTATATTCTTTTTGACGATCAGGTTGAGGACGTTGATGCTAAAAATAAAGATTAAAATTTAAAAATTTGGAACTGGCAAAATCAGTGTCTAATTATAGAGATCAGAGGAACTACGGAAGTAAATGGGATAAATTAGTATTCATCAACTAACTCAGTTCGGGAAAGCTTAACCGGGAATCAATTTTACTAATTTAAAAATACCCACAAAATAAATGGAGGGAAAAACTTTTTCAATTGAAAAAGGGATGGATAATTATCAAAGAATCAAATTTCCAGATTCCTGGAGGAGCATAACCCTAGATTCCTGCAGTTGAAAAAAGTACAAGTCCATAGGAGATGTCGATAATCTCCAATTTTAAATTCAGGTCAAGCTAACAATAAATTGGACAAAAATTGAAATTCCAAATTAAAATTAAATAAAAACCTTTAAAGTAGGACCACTATGCGGTATATACCAAGGTGCCTTCTCAATAAATTCAGGAATGTGTGGATTAATATCACGTCCAGTTTCTGTGTCAACCATTGCAGGGGCTGTGCCAGCTTTCCGTTGTTCTTCCAAATCTTTTTGTTTTCTATACTCATCCTTAGATTTTCGTTTCCCACTTTCGATTCCGTCTTCTGTCCCAAATGGTCCTCCTTGACGAATTAAAGAAGAAACGGGTAAATTTGCCATTTTTAATCAAAAAACTGAAAAATAAAAAATTTGTAAAATTAAATAGGTCAAACAAATTATAAAGAAAAAATTACAAGGTATTTGGGTCAGAGACCGGCAAAATCGTGTTTGCGGCATCCCGCATGCGGGAGTAACTTTTAAAAATGTCTGCGGGAGTAACTCCCGCGGGAATATTCCTCCCGTCCCGTGTCGTTCTCTAATTTGGGTATGATATTATTCAGGGCAAACAAATTAGGATTATCTAGTTAAAGCTCGAAAATAGGAGCCGGCAAAATTGGGGCGGGCAACGCTTGCGGGGTTCTATGAGACTCACTAGCGACCCAAGATTTAGAGGACAGATCGCGTAAATAAAAAAATAGCGGGATTTCCATGTAAAATCCCCTCGAGATATCACAAATCTGACAAAATTTAAGATATTTTATGAAAAAGACAAAATGAAAAGGTATTTCAATTTGGTAAATACACTTAATGTTATTTTGGTAACTTAAATAAAAATGTCAAATTAACACAAAAGGTCATTTAGGTAACTACTAAAAAGCTCTATTTTTAAAAAATCAAACGATAAAAATATTTCAAGAATTTTTGTAGTCAGCTGATAAAATTTTATTTGACGCAATCTTCCAATATTTTCCAAAAAAAACTTTAACATGTCCTTAGACGAAATCCAAAGAAACGTCCCTATTAAACCCCAACAATTATTTTTCCATTCAGAATTGTTAAAACCTGAAATTGAATTATTTAAAGACCAATTTGAAAGAAATGAGCGTTTTAAAGAATTTGACGGGTTAATTAAAGCAAATCATAGGGTAAAAATAAAATTTTTGATGAATTAAAAGTTCTCTAAATAGATTTACGAAGCTTTAGAGACAAAAATTGCTGTGGACAAAAAATTAACAAAAAATAAATTTTTAATATTAAATGAACAAATGAGGTCAATAACTGAACGTATTATTGCTATGAGTTCTCCACAATTTACAAAAGTAATTTTTTGAATTAGGGGGGGGGGGGGGGGGGGAAAACAAATAACGACACTAGTGATCGAGCTGGGTATGGACCAAGGCCTAGGTTTTTCCTGTACCCAGAGTTCAGTTTTTTGAGCTTCCTTGAGTTTTCCTGGGCCTGGGGTTTTCCTGGACTACAGGCCCAGGCTTTTTAAAAATCTCGATCTCTACACGACACACAAAGGTCATAGTTAATTTTTAGTTAAAAAATTTCTTTAAATTAATACAATAGCTTCATATAAAGGTCAGCTTTGATCTGAATCAAATCCTTCATTTTTCCCAGACTTTCGGGTTTTTTTTTTGTTTTTCCTTGACTCAGGGTCAAAAGTTTAATCAAGGCATCGCTTGAAAGTTTTCATACTTCCAATCTCCAGGTTTATTAGGTTCGAAAAGTTGATTGAATTCATTACACTAGAGCTAATTTAAAAAATATTTTTTAAAGGAAGAAATTGCTGGATATGATTTTTCTGATATTATTAATATCTCCAAATATGCAGAACTTAAACAGAAAGAATTGGAAAAGAAAAGAATAGAAAATGACAGGGGGCCTATTTTTACAATTATTGAAGAAGAAAAGGAATAAAAAATAAATTTTTAAAAATTTATGTCGCCAAAAACATTTAATAAATTAAAAAAAATTTTTTTAACTAGAGAGGTCTTTCCATAAATCAAAAATTCACAAAAAATTTCATTCCTTGTCGATATCGTCAATTACGAGTAATTCCAAAAATTGAAGGGCCAGTTTTGTATATGTATTTTTCACTTCTTCCCACACATTGCTACTCAGAAAAATTTTCCTGTTGTTTCGAATATAATTTATACAAGCCTTAAATGAAGAAAAATATTATTTAAAATCTCGTTTTTTTTTCTAGTTTCTTTGGCTTTCGAAAAGGAATACCAAAAATCAGCCTGAAAAAATGTTTAGTTAGTTCAGCAAATAAAAGTTCCAAGTTAGAGATCGGAATGTGAGGACTATTTTTAAAAATTATCTTTAAAACTTGCAACCTTTTCCACAGTTGGAGCTCCGTACAAAGAAATAGTCCCACAATATTGAAGAAAATTGATTTCCGCTAAAACAAGAATAAATTTTAAAAGTCAGAAATTTTTAAAATTTGTTTTTGTTCCTCAATTGCCCCCAAAAAACACGCCCCAAAAATTATAAAACCAAAACGTTAGGCTGAAATACAAGCTGAGATAAATAGCAGTTGGGAGCGAACCAGCATCTTCTGTTGATCGGTTATAATTACACCACAAGGTCTCCCACTTAGACAGAGCAATTAACTAGCTACCTTATATTCCCCCAAAAAATCATAAACTTACAAATCTGGGAAGATATAATAATTTCGCATTCATATTTTAACGGCTCGACTTCATATTTGTGTGCAATAACAAAAACTTCGTCAACATTTGCTGTAGAAGGAGGGCAACCACTATAGAAAAACTGCAACATTGCACGAACACATTCGGGAGAAGCATCGTTGATCGTGACTTCCCCCTATAATATATTTTTATAAAAAAATTTTAACGGAAAGGGAATGGAAAAAATATGTCAGAGATCCTGCCGACAAAATTACCAATTCGGGAATTCCATACCTCAAAAAACGTAGGGAAATCCCGATTTTCGAGAATCGGGCCTGCAGCAGGGTTGGGGGTCCGATCTGGCCCGGTCCGAAAGATCGGGTCGGGCATTCAATTTTGCTCGAAAAAAACTCGGTAAGGCCGGTCCGAAAAAATGACCCGAAAAATGTGGCCCGACTTGAAAACCTCAACCCTAGTCTGAGGAACCCAGAAATATGTACCGAATTGATCGAGAAAGAATTTAAATCCAGGTCAAGGATTTTGCTTTCTCTTATAAAGCTTAAACCCTCCGAGTATTTTAAATGTTAGCCAGCTAAAAGTTCCCTTCTTTCAGTTCTTTACTGCTTTAAGTATCAAAATGCCTATCTTAAAATGATTGCAATCAATAAAGATAACAAACTTTTTGTGATTCAATCATGCCATTCTGTTCAAACATAGTTCGAAGTACTTGACTATTCTCTGCTAGAACACAACGATGTGCCTTTATAATTTCGTCGCCAACCTAAAAAATCATATAGGTATTTGGGAAACGCCCAAAACGGCGCGCAGCCATAACTTGCTCAAGATTTTCCAATCTTACCAAATTTAGTATAAAACGATTCCCCTGATCGAGCTATGGAAAATGATACCAAAATTAAGAAGGGCCAGACATTTTCCAGCAAGTTATGGCTTTGTGCCGTTATGGCCGCGCGTCGTCTTGGGCCCGGTATTTCTTTAAGTCGTTCGCGAACCTTAATAACGCAATCAGAGAACGTTCCATTTTCTAACATTTTTTGATATTTATTTTTCAAATTTTCAGTAGGGTTGTAACAGTCAGCCTCAATATCACAGTTTAAATCCAATAGGCCTAAATTGGCTCCATGGTCGATTATTTTGCTCAAAAGAATTTTTGTATATCCCAATATTTCTTGGCTCTCAAGTTCATTTTTTGACCTTAAATTAAATTGAAGATTTGGAGAAAAAATAAGAAACCTGGCAATATCAATCTGTTGGTCACCTTTAATCGCATAAATATGATATTTTGTATTTACAAGATCATCTAAGCTTTTTGGCCCCATCTGACGAAGCCAAATCCCAACCTCATTAGAGCTCAATACTTTATATACTACCAACTCCCATTCAACGTTGGGAAGTCCTTGATGGCCATGTCGAGGGCCTGAAAATTATTTAAAACTATGAAAAGCGGTCAAGCAAGCCTGTGCACTCTTTCTCTTTTTTTATCCGTTATAAGTCTCCTAAGAGCTTCTGTGATGACGGCCACTCTACATGAAAAAGACGCAGAAAAACTGACTATCTGCGTCTTTTTCATGTTAGAGAGTGGCCGTCATCAAAGAAGCTCTAAAGAGACTTCACGGATAAAAAGAATGCGCAAGCCTGCCGTTAAGAATACTTGTCAAATGTAAAGGGCATCTTTTATATTGTAGCGTGTCACAAATTTTATCGAAATTGTAAATTTGAAATTGAATACTTAAAGAAATGGTTTTCATCGAAGAAAGATATGTAGATTTTTAAAATTTAAGTAGCTGTTAAATAAAATAAATTTTAGGACGAAACGGGAAAAATACACCCGTAATGACGGGATTTTTTTGTAAACTTTTTTACATTTTTTAGGAAATTTTGTAGGATCTTGGTTAAAATTTAATAAATTTTTTGGTTATACGACACTTGGGGACGGACTTTTGCGGACCGACATTTGAGGATGGACATTTGAGGATTGCGGACCGACATTTGAGGACCGACATTTGAGGACCGACATTTGGGGATTGCCATTTGAGTATAAGAATATTTGTATCTTACGGTGAAGTTGTTGCACAAGCGGAGGAAGGGTACTCTTCACTTATAGCGGGTTTTTAATGCGAGAGTGGATATGGACGTATGAGGTGTCATTCGACTCAGTTCGACGAGCTGAGTCGAACTAGGGGTGGGAGAAGTTTGTCCGGTACCTAGGTACCGAGTTACAGACTTCAGAAAATTCAAAAAGAGAAGGTAATATTCAATTTCGTTCCCCCCCTCTTTTTTTCCATCCTCAAAGTATTAAAAAATGGTCAGTCTGACTAAAGTTATAGAACTCGTCGAGCTGAGTCGAATGACACCAAAATCAAAAAAATCCGACTTGATTTGACCGAAATACAGACCCTGAAAATTGAACAACCATGGGGGCGAAAAACCATAAAGACTAAAATTTATACAAATGATAGCTCATTCGAAAGAGCTCGTCGAGCTGAGTCGAATGACACCAAAATCAGCGCGATTGGACAAGATTTGACAAAGTTATGACGTAAGTCGTCGACTCCATTAGGTCTACACTTAATGTCATAACTTTGTCAAATCTTGTCCGATTTCGTTGATTTTGGTGTCATTCGACTCAGCTCGACGAGCTCTTTCGAATGAGCTATCATTTGGGTAAACTTTTTTTATTTCGAAAAATCACCCCCATGGTTGTTCAATTTTCAGGGGTCTGTATTTAGGTCAAATCAAGTCGGATTTTTTTGATTTTGGTGTCATTCGACTCAGCTCGACGAGTTCTATAACTTTAGTCAGACTGACCATTTTTTAATACTTTGAGGATGGAAAAAAGAGGGGGGGGGGAACGAAATTGAATATTACCAAAGAGAAGGCAGCTCATTCGAAAGAGCTCATCGAGCTGAGTCGAATGACACCAAAATCAACGAAATCCGACTTGATTTGACAAAGTTATGAGCATTTGTTTTAGCTCCTTACCTATGCTCGCCGTGGAGGGTTTTGCTGACGGAGGCCCCAAGTACTTCCAGAGCAAGGGAGATAGGAATAGGTTTATGTTACTGACCCAGACCCAGCGACCGTTGACTCCCCGCGAGGCGCGTGCCGCAAAACCCCGCGCGAAGCGCGGGGTTTTGCACAAGCGCCTCGCCGACGCCCCATAGGTTTAGGTTTTTGTTTTTCTATCGTAACTCTGTCTAGACTTGTACAATTACGATGATTTTGGTGTCATTCGATTCAGCTCGTCGAGCTCTTTCGAATGAGCTATTATTTGCATATTTATTATGCCGCTTACGATTTTTGACCATTTTTAGCCCCTATATCTCGGTCCCTAGGTACCGGACAAACTTCTCCCACCCCTAGTTCGACTCAGCTCGTCGAGCTGAGTCGAATGACACCTCATACGTCCATATCCGTCCACGCATTAAAAACCCGCTATAAGTGAAAATTTTCCGGTGGAAGTTGATTTGTCGGCGGGGGATGCTGTTTAAACGACGGGGGATGTTGTTCTGTCAACGGAGGATGTTATTCCGACAACGGGGGATGTTGTTCCGACAACCGGGGAAGTTGTTCCGTAAACGAGGGATGTTGTTCCGTCAACGGCAAAAATTTTTTCCGTCAATGGGGGAAGGTAATCTGTTGAAATAACCTCTCCCGTCGTTGGAACAACATCCCCCGTTGTCGGAACAACGTTCCTCGTTGTCAGAACAACTTCCCCCGTTGTCGGAACAACATCCCTCGTTGACAGAACAACTTTCCCCGTTATCGGAACAACTTCCCCCGTTGTCGGAACAACTTCCCCCGTTGTTGGAACAACATCCCCATTGTTGGAATAACATCCCCCGTTGACTGAGTAGGTACTTTATGGATATGTCACCCCCCCTCCTATTTTGAGTCTCAGAGTTTTCCTTAAACGTAGTCAATCATTTTTCTTTCTTCAAGCAAAATAAGTGAAATGAGGTAAATGTAGAAACGAAATGAGTGAAATGTAAGTACAAAATGTGAAAAGGCAAAATAAACAAGCGAAATACTTGAAGAAGAAAAAAATGATTGACATGGAGAAGGAAATAATCTCTGACCATTTTCTACGTTTAAGGAAAACTCTGAGACTCAAAATAGGAGGGGGGGTGACATATCCATAAAGTACCACTGAGTAACATCCCTCGTTTACGGAACAACATCCCCCGTTGTCGGAACAACATCCCTCGTTGACAGAACAACATCCCCGTTTACGGAATAACTTCCCCCGAATGTGCAACAATAGTACATAATTTGTGACTCAAATGGCAATCCCCAAATGTCGGTCCTCAAATGTCGTTTCCTCAAATTCGATCCTCAAATGTCGGTCCTCAAATGTCGGTCCGCAATCCTCAAATGTCCATCCTCAAATGTCGGTCCGCAAAAGTCCGTCCCCAAGTGTCGCACCACGAATTTTTTCTAACTTTTTGCCGAAAAATAAATTAATTTTTCTATCAGCAGTTCAGTAGAGTCCAGATTTAATTCCGCATATTTGAGTCCAGGCACGATTGAGTCCGCACGGCTCACCTTATGCTTTGGTTACATAAAAGTCGCTTTGCGTCTTCCGACAGAAAATAGCATCGAAAAGAAGGAGAGACAAAATCGCGCGCGACTTTACCCTCCTCATTTCCCATTATCTTTTCTGTCGCAAGACGCGCGCGATTTTTATGTAACCGTAGCATTAGAGACCGGAAAAATTGTTTTAGCGGGATCCCGCATGCGGGAGGTAACTTTTAAAAATGTCTGCAGGAAACACATACTATGTATTTGTGTGATCTATCGAAAAATTGAGCAATTGATCAGTATCCCAGTGGATTGTGTGATCTATCGAGCTTTTATCTCTCAAGCTCCAGGCCGATAATCCATTGTGGAATCATCCTAATTTGCTGGTATAGGATGACATGGCAACCAAGAGCCGCTGTTTATTCTCCGTCTTCCCTAAGGTTGGTGGTTCCTGGGAAGTCTTCAGATATTCGTAACCAAAGCCGAAATTTTTATTTAATGAAAATAATTTGGTAACAGAGAGGGAAAATAGATTGGCCAAGAAGCCAGATTTATTCTTCTTATTAACTATTGAATGTTCAATTCTTTCCATAAGTTAGAAGCAAATTGCGGACTTTTTTTCGGTTTCGGATATCCAGAATCGCCATCCCTACTCTTCCTTGACAGTTTTGCAACCAACCCGGAACTAGAAAAAGTCAAGATGTCACGCAACCGGAACTTCCAGCGTAATTGAGTGGGTGTATGTAGCTTGGCCTTGCAAGAGGAAATAATTTTTCCAACTTCCTTCTTCCTATTTAAATTTTATAGCGATTGCGCGCGTCAATGTAAAATTGACTATACACATGTATAAGGGGTAGGCCGAGTCCCAAAAATATGAGACACGAGATACGAGATTCTCAAATAAATACGACAACGAGATAAAACGAGATACGAGATCTTTCAAAAAATACGGGATTTCACGAGATACGAGATATTAATAGAAAATATAAGGGTTTGTTCGGATAATGATTTCAGGTGGATTATGAAGGATATTGGGGATTTAGTGGATCAACGGATTTGTTATCGCGGATTACGGAGTATATCATGCGATTTGAAAGGATCAAGGAGAGTTAAAAAAACAGATAACATGGTATTATTGAGGTTTTCAACTGATTTGAGTGATATCGGATACCGAGAGATATGGTCACCCAATAAGGAGATGAAGTTTTCTTTAGCCACTCCATGATGAAAGTAGGGCTTCTTTTAGCGCCGCAGGCAAAATTTTGAGAATGTTGGAAAACATGAAGACAAATTTCTTCCTTTTTTTCAGAATTATTGAAGGCCAAAAATTTTTTTTGAGAATTTTGGAAGGTCTAGAAGCCTGGTTTCTCACTTTTTTTAGCGCCGCAGGCGAACATTTTGAGAATTTCACAATTCTATCCACTCCAGCTTCTTTCTTTGAATAGTCCCAAATTTTCGACATTTTTTTCTAAAATATGTTGAAAATATCTCGTGTCTCGTGGCAAAATACGAGATACGAGACATCAAAAAAACACGAGATTTTACGAGATACGAGACTCAGCCCACCACTGATGTATAAGCTAATTCTCCACCTACTTATTTTATTCTCCTTTAAAACAAGGGATTCCTTCACTCTTTACCTGGTAAAATTTTTTCTTTAATAATTTTAAAATATCCCCTCTCTATTCATTTTTAAAATATGGGAGATTAAGAATGAGTTTAGCAAAAGTTTAGACACAGGGCAGGATTCGAATCTGGGACCTCCTGACAGTTATCACTCCCTATTCCTAGCAGATAAGGAGTGAGTGGTTGGTCAACTAACAATAGTGTTTCGCCGGAAGTTCCGGTTCCGGCCAAATTTGCGATTCCGGTGAAAGACTAGTTACCAACCTTACATCAGTTATAAAAACACAACCTTAATAGTTAGGGACCATTTTACTAAATGACAGTACTTATGTTTATGTTGCCTAAAGAAAAAGTTTAGCAAAAGTTCAGCCACCGGGCAGGATTCGAACCTACGACCTCCTGACAGTTATTGCTACGCGCTTTCGCTCACCACATACAGGAGCTCTACCACTGAGCTATTGGGGCATCGACTAATGCTTTCTCTTTTATCCTTTTATATCATTTAACCCCCGCCTAAGCGTTTTAAATGCTGGTAGGTGAATCAGCCTCAGAATTATCTAGAAATTTATAATTTTTTAAATAAAAAATTTCTTTAGTTTTATTCCAAAAAAATGTTTTTTACACCATTTACAAAAACATTTGTCTTCGTTTTTGTTGGATTTACTCCTCTTCTTGTCATGGGAATGCACTATCCTCCTGGTAGTAAATTTTTTTCTTGCGTTTTTAAATATTAAAAAATTTTTTTTCAACAAATAATTTATAAAAATAGCGAGAATGCAAGCTGGTGGAAGCCAAGGCCATGCCAATCTGAACACGTTTTCCCTCACTGAGTTGTCCTTATTAATGAGGATAATGGATAGCATTCATTTGCCCGAAATTTACTACAATTCTCAATCTAGTATTGAAAATGTTTTTGAGCAAAAAGGAGGTGAAGTCGTTGGGTTAGCTGAAGATGATCGAATGGTTAATGATTTTCGACTTAAAATTGAAGCGGTGAGTAAAGCTATATTTGGAAGTCTGCTCAATTCATACGCAGTATAGAGCCTAAAATAGCGGAATATGAAAGCAATACTAATAGATTAATGTATCGAAAGAGTTAGGGATCTATTAGACCGACCCCTTCTAATAAACCGACCGGTCGCACTATTAGAAGAAATACGGTATATCCGCGGATGGATATGACACTAAACTTGGACGGATATACCCGGATAGCAAAATCCGTGCTTATGTCCTAGTCGGTAATTACCAACCCTTTACATATTCGATTTAAACCTTTAAAGGTGATGAATTATTTTACACAAATACTTGTAAATTATGAGAGGAGGTTAATACAAAACTATCACCAAGTGGGCAGAGAAGCACAACTTCGTTTTATCAATAAAAGAATTGATGACTATAGAGAAATTTTTGGAAATGAGGAGTATAATAATCTAATTAGAGGTTTAGATGGCGAAGAGTTAGATGCTCAAGAGAATTTTGATAATATTCCAGTTACATTATTGAATATTGGGTAAAGTTTCTTCATGCATTTAATATTAATTTATTATTAATATTTTTTGTGATCAAGTATAATAAATTATTTTACCGTATTTACTCAAGTAATTCCTCTCCCAAGAATAATTCCCCTTGCTGCGAATGAGTTAAAACAATAATCCCCCTCCCCCAAATACCCTACTACACATTCAAATTTCAAAACTCGAATAATTCCCCTCCCTTGAATAATTCCTGTTATGTCCTAGGTAGCGGTCTTACCTAGTGACAAACAGAATAACACAGTAATAGAATATTACGTTTATCCGAATGGTAAATACAATAATAGTGAAGGTGGCAACAGGCAAGAATGACTAAGGACAGACGGCGCCGGTCGACCCAGATGTGACTGATCGCTAACGACTCCTTTTATACTAGACCCACACATACCAAACAATTCCCCATGCCACGGATGGGTTGAAAAATAATTCCCCGGGGGAATTAATAGAGTAAATACGGTATATGTATTAATTTATAGCGAAAGAAGACTACATAGACTTGAAGGACGTTTAGTTAAAGTTTTACCCAAAGAAAAAAATTTATTTCTCTATTACAAATTGCATGTTTTAACACGGAGATTGATCTTGTCATTTATCCAAGATAGTTCAAATGCATACTTGACTTTTTTCGAAGAGTTACATACGCGCCTAAACAGAAATAACAATCGTCAATATAAGTAATGTTTTAAATATTATTTATGGAGTAATTATTTGAGGGAGGATGTTATGCCCGAGTGTTAACGAGATTTGCCTACAGGTGGAAATTAAAAGGTGGAATTGTGTTCGAACAGAAAGGGTTTGAACAGACAGAGATCAGGACTAGTTTGGCTAGTATACTCCAACTAAAAGGACTCTGACCTTCTCCTTTCATTTCAAAACCTTGACTCCGGCTCCGGGTTTTTAAAATCTTAGCTCCGACTTCAGTGCTAGCTTGTTGTATCCTTTTACAACAATAAAGAAACAATACAATAATGTTTATCACACAATAGAAATACAATAAGAGCTGAAGAAATAGTATACAAGGCTGGGGTATTTGGGATAAGCAATTAGGAGACACTGACTGACAAATATGAGGCTTTTAAAGTATAATAAGGTTTAAATACTAGCCACTACACCACAACATAGCTTCCGGAGTCAGTACTGAACACCAATACACATCGAGAAAATACATAACTATGTATTTAATTAACATAAATTCTGTATTTTAATTAAATTCTAGATTCCAAATATCAATTTTGCAGTACATCGAGGCTCTTGATAAATATGAAGTGTTTGCAAACAATTTTCATGATATGTTGGAAAATAAAGCTTTTAGTCGTATATATGGTGATTTAAATTTAAAAAGCTGTGGTTTTTAAATTTTCTATTTAAAGGCACGGCCAGTTTATCCACAAATCTTAGAAACGACGAGTTACTGTTGAGAGATGAAGGAAATAACACGTATCACGTCCGTTGTCAATGCAATCCGCGTTATGAGAATATAGACAGAATTCGGATATTTTTGCCATATGTGCAGCTTATTCATACATTCACAAGTAATAAAATAATTTATAATTAAAGCAACTAGGATTGCTCCTCGTCAGGAGATGAGCATGGGACCAGGGGTGAGCATGAGACAATCGGGAAAAACGCAACGCTAGGCAAAAATCAACGCAAGAATGGGAAAAAAATTTTCCAATTAAAAATTGAAGTCACTAAATATCAGCCAGTGTCGTGTAGATTTTGTGATATGTATAAGGGGATAGTGTTGGATATGTTTTGGAGCGTGGATAGTGGTTTGGAGCGATATCGTTGATATAGGGGATTCGGAGGAATTAAAGGGTTTTAAAGAGATACCGGAGTATTATGGAGGATGCCAAGGAGCTGGGGAGATATTTGAAGTTAAGGGGATATCTGTCGAGTTGATGGGGTTACCGGGTATCCTCAGATTAGATGGATTTTTGCGTTAACTTCGTCAATGATGAGCAAAACGCAAAGCAAAGCAAAAATTTAACGCAAAACGCAATGCGATGCCCTCTAATATGATAGATTTAAGGATGAGACATGTAAGGGTTAAATGAAATTTAAAGAATGGACACATGGCTAAGGCATTTGGCCAACGTCTTACTGGGTATTTGATGGTTTGTAGATCCCGGAAACTTCATTGAAAACTTAAATGGTTAATAATTTCAACAATATAATTTAGTTAGGGAAACTGATTCTTTGGAAATAACAAATGAAGAATTTACACAGTTTGCACCATTTCGTATTCGAGGACCAAATAATACATACAATTTATACAACCTCTTTTATTCTGATTATGTCCGGAATAATAATAATCTGATAGGAAGACTTGAAGAATATTACATAAATCCACAATTGCTTACCCTAATAGCTGAACAATTAAATAATGAGACTTTGGGTTATCACCGTCAATTACGGGAAATACATGGAGTTCCACCACAAACTCGAGAGGTTATTTTTAAATATACAAGGTGTGGGAGCATTGGGAGCATAAAATTTCTTGAAATTATGCTCCCAAAAATATAGAAATAACGGTCATTCTTCATTTAAATTGATCATAACAGCTTCACATCCCCCGCACTCAACCTGAACCAGCCGTTGATGAAACCGATGATGAACAAACGGAAGCAGCCGAAATCCTTTTTGAAATTAGCCAACAAGCCGCTGGAAGACGTCGCACTCGTAACAATGGAGGAGGTGAAGGGAATGGCCGTCGCGGTGGTGGACGTCGCCGTCACACTGGAGGCAGAAATGGCAGTAGAGGAGGAAATGGAGATTCAGGAAATTGAGAGGGATCGAAGAGAGAAATTGAGGAGGATTGAAAGAATTGAAGAGAAAAGATTAGTTTTACAAAATTGTAGTTGAGAAAATTGCCTTTATTTAATACTGTCTCTTTCATAAATCCTCTATTAGAGTACCATACAACAGACAAAAAACAATTTTACAGAAAGTTAAAATTCTGAGACGTTTGTCCGGGCATTTGCAGAAGGATATTAACTAGAGTTGCACGAGGGAGGTTTTTTGTAAAAACCGAGACCGAGGATCACCGAGGCTGAAAAAGTCAAGATCGAGGGGCAAATTTTGGTCGAGGTCCGAGGATTATCGAGGTCGGCGAGGCCTCGACATCGGCAACTCTAATATTAACGTATAAATATAACCAGTCAGGGTGTGGTTGTAGCACAGTTTGATTTACTGTCCTTTACATGATGGTTCGATTCCATCTCATACAATGAATTTTAAACAATATCCCATGAATTTTGTAAAATAGGGTGGTATTAGACTATAGAGGATTTAGGGCATATAAATTTTTTTATTTTTATTTTTCGGGATGATAAAAGTAAAAAAGCATTTTTTTAAAAATCGTAATATAAGTAAAAAAGCACAAAAGCAAGGACTAATTTTCAAAAGACCCCAAAAATACTTGAAAAATTGAATATTTGCACTCTTATAAACATGAAACAACCGGTAATAATAAAATTAAAAATAAATTAGAATTGTTAGATAGAAAAATCGAAAAATAAGTAAAAGAGTACTTTTTCTGTTCATTTGAATATGCTTTACCCCTATTCACCACACAATTCGTGTCGGGCTAAAACGCATAACGGACAAAACGCGGAACGGACAAAACCGTTCCGCGTTTTTGTAAGTCCGTGTTTTGTCTGTTCCGTGTTTTGGTAAGACCTCGTTTTGTCTTTCCGCGTTCTGTCTGTTCCGTGTTTACCCCTATTCATCACTTCACAAGTCGCATTTTATTACAAATTTATCTTTAAATATTTTCAATTCTCCCCAATAATTGACAGATTTTTCTTTTCTCAACTTCACGTTTACATCTTTAATAATTTTTTTATTATGTAAATAATAGAAATTGAAGAAGAAAAAAGGGGAGACGTGGCCAAACAAAACATAAAATTAATATAAAATGATTTTTCTGTTATCAACATTTTAAATATAAATTCCTATTCTCTCAATTTAATTAAAAGATAATTTTTGAATTTTCTCACCAATTTTAATTTAGCGACCAATTAAAATATAATAAAAATTCAGCTAAAATCAATTTTAAAAATTAGTAGAACTTCACTATATGATACCTTCAGAATTAGAATACATAAAGTAAGTGTTCTAATAGAAGCCCTGGGCGTTCATTTCTCAATAGGTATCATTGAGTGGGCTTTAACCAAGACCAAGACTTCACCCCCTATACTAAGATCAAGACCGAAAAACCCCAAAAGTCTTGGAATTAAGACTCAAGACCAACTGTCTCAGACGTCTCTATGGCATGGGCTTCTGCTGTAGTCGTGTTTCCATCAGAACATTTACGTGTATTTTAAAATATGTTGGGTCACTGGCAGTGGGAGCTGTCCAATTACGGTGTAATTAAATATTCACAGGATTAAGATTCAACTTTCATTTAAGACTCACCTCATTATTAGGCTCGAATTTTTATATTTTTTCTATTCTTTCCTAAACTTCCAAGGCGAAGCATGAATCCGATGTTATTTTCAAATTAAATCAACTGGTTAAATGGCTCTATATTCCCACTTTCCTACCTATTCTGAGGAATTCCTTACCTAAAAATCCGACAAAAGTATTTTAATTTTTAAGAAAATTTTCTTTGAGATCTAAAGGTGTATTAGAGAGATCCGACTGATTATCAGATAAATGAATTTATATTTAAATATAATATTAATTATTTTATTATTTATTCCATTAAAAGTATTTTGTAAAAATAACAACAAAATTCAAAAGGAAAATAAGAATCTTGTTTCTGTACAAACTCTGACAGGCAAAATTATTGGAAAAGTGGAAAAAATTGAAATTGAATCGGGGCAAATAATGAACGTGGATATTTTCTTTGGGATTCCTTATGCTCGGCCTCCTGTTGGGGATTTACGTTTTGAGGTATTTTTTAAAGTATTGAATGAGGGTGGAGATTATATCTGGAAATTTTAAGTCAGGAATTGAACAAGCACATTATCCTCCTACCCAAATAAACTTTAATCTCTTTATAATAGACGCCTTTGTTCTAAAATTTTTAAATAGGTAATTTACCTTTACGAATTATATTGAGGTATTTGCTCAGGCATATAAGAGGAGGTATGGCTTTCCCTACCAGCAGAGGTGGGTTGGAACAGTCAGAAGTGTCGGAAATCGGAAGAGCCGGAAATCGGAACTGACTCAAAAGTCGGAACTCGGAAATCAAAATTTTTTCGGAAATCGGAAGGAAAAAACGCCGGAAATCGGAAGTTGGAAATCGGAATTCCGAATCACTTCTGCCTGCCAGTGACTAACCAAATTTGACACTTACATGCACTACTTAAACTGAATTGTACATTTGAAAGGGTGTACTATTATCTGATCCGACTATACTTTTAAATAGAATAAGTCGATCATTATTTACTGTATTCACTCGAATTTTTCTTTTATTTTATCTCTCACAATGAGAGGGCTGTTGTTAGGGCGCTCTTATACTTGGAGAAAAATTAAATACATATTCATTCCAACTTTGATATAACATCCAAAGAGGGAGATACTTGAGGATTCTGGGTTAATTTACCTCTTGAAAGAAGGAAGGAGCCTGGTAAAAAGGTTAAATCATTGAGTGTTTCAATCGAGAACTTCCGTACGTTTAACTTTAAAAAATTCAAAATAGAAAACAGTCCCCTTCATTCAAAACGAAACACAAACAATTTATGCACTTGAACAACCAAAAGTTTGTGTTCAACACCACAGATTGGATAATTGGACATGGGATTGGTATCAATATAGCGAAGATTGTCTTTATTTAAATTTATTTTCTCCTCACGGAATTGAAGTTTTTGTTTAATTTTTCGAATTAAAAATTATTTAGGGGCAAGTTGAAAATCTTTTACCAATACTTGTTTTGGTATATACAGGCGGATTTGAGACACAATCAATGAGACGTTACAAAGTAAAATATATGACTATTTCTCAAGCAATTATTAATAGATTAGGATTGCAGATCCGTTATGTATCCCCATACAGTTAACGAATAAACAAATGTCCGATTATGGGAATAGGGATTCCCAACCTAAAGAAAACGTCTGGAATTCCCGATCGAGTCGGCTAGATCACTAGTAGATATGTAGTTATGCGCGGGACCTTCCCGGTTCAGGAACCTTCAAAGCGCTGAATATGATTTGGGGAGATTTGGGTTGGCGGAAGCAGAAGTGGGGGCGGGAGCAGAAATTTGGGTTGGGGAGGTCCATTCACTTTTGTCTATCTCACTCATCCTGCGATATCGAAAACCCCAAAAATAGTCCTCTCGATAAACTAATCACTTCGAAAACGCTTGTTTAAATAATCCTCGCTAGTATGATAAATTAAAAAAATTATAAGGACTTTGAAGACATTGGAAGGAAATATTTATCAAAAGGAATCTTGGTAATTGCTGTACAATTTAGAATTGGATTTTTAGGTGACAAAAATAAAAAAAAGAATTGCCTTAAAAATTTTAAAGGATTTTCTTCCATTGGAAATCCTCACCAACAACTTGCTGGGAATTTTGGTTATTGGGATATTGCAGAAGCTTTAAATTGGATTAAATTAAATGTTAAATCATTTGGTGGGGATCCAGAAAGGATTACTTTATTTGGATATTCTGCTGGTTCTACAGCTGTTACGACGCTTGGAATTTCTCCTCATACAAGAGGTGATGATATAACTCGACCTCATTTTGAGATACTCTCTTGGGGCTGAAAAATTATACCTTATAATGAGGGTATATTGTGTAGAGGGCATCCATAAGGTAGCTTCTCCCAATCTAGTGGCCAAACAAAATCAAAAACGTATTTTAAATAGAGGTGAATCTTGCATTGGAGGTCTCTTGAGGAGTTACATAGCTCAATATACCTCAATTTAATGTACGTTTATTAAAACTGGTTCGGCCAATGGGAGAGCTTATTGACGATACTCTCTATTTAATATACTCTCATTATAATAGACAATGCTTTTATCCCTAAAGGGGTATCCTAATAAGGTCTGCTTGAAAATGTATTTTAAAATCCCCACAGATTTATTTCAACAATCTATCCAAATGAGTGGTTCAATTTTTACCTCGAGAGCAGCAAATGACCGTGTTATTTCTGTGAGCAATCATCTCTTTACTGAATTGGGTTGTATTTCAAACACAACAGAGCAATTGAAGGAATGTTTAAAGACAAAAGATATTGAAGAATTTTTTGATGCGATGGATATAATTGTTGGTAATTAATAAAAAATTAATTTTTCTAGTATTAAGGGTTACATATTATTTACCTTTTACAATTCTCCCCGAATGAGGGAGTTCTCCTCATTTTTCTCCTCTTCTCATTCTTCTCAGGTCTCCCTCATTCTCCCTCTTGGCTGGCCACTTGGTAGAGAGCTGAGTAAGGAATATGCCCTATTAAGATAACTAGGGTTATCGGTTCCTGGAAAATCCTTGGATATACCGAACCGAAAAATCGGTTCTTCGTTCGGTCCAAAACCGACAATCCTAAAGGTTACCTCATAAGATAAGATATTTCAACCTCGAAGGAAGGGTTGACTTTTCACGCCGAACCGAAGATCCAGGGATTTCTCTGTCGAACAAGTGCTTAAAGACAGAAGATTCGGTTGCAGAGATCCGAAGATTTCCCAAGAACCAACACCCTCTATTCAAAGGCTCAATCTTGTTGAAACTACATTTTCAGGGTTCAACAATTCCCGATGTCAATTATGATATTTTTGGACCTATTATGGATAATGATTTTTTGCCCAAAGAATTTATTGAATTAATTAATGAAACAAAGCCAAGACCAACAATTTTGGGAATTACAGAAACGGATCCACTTGGATACTGTATGTTTCGTTATTTAATATAAAATTAAAATTAATACTGAAAAAAGAACAAAAATTTGCTCTTAGACTAAAATAAGGTCGTCTTATTAGATGAAAGAACAATCGCTTGAAACAAACTTATTTGTTAGTATAAGGAAGTTCCCTTAAAATGGTGCCCTGTAGTTATAATTAGGGTCTGGCAGTGATGAGATGTCGGACAAAAAACTGTTTTTGAGATCGACATTTTTGTGACGTTGATCTCGAGTCTAAGACGAAGGTATGGCGTCTGTGGTGACCCGCAGGGCGGTCCGGTCTTTAGTTCTAATTTTATGGCCGGCTGAAAACTCAATTTTTGCTATAGCGCCAAAAAGAGATTTAATTTTTATAAGAGATTTATAAGAGACATTTAGTTGGAAAATTTTGTTTAGTTATGGCTGCCTAAATCCTTTTAGTTTAGCTTTTTCTCAATTCCATCCCCAGCGTTGAAAGCTTTTCCTTTCTAACACCCTGCTAGAGAAAATAAAAGAGTGTATATGACAAAGATGAAAACTAAAAAAAGTTAGTAATAAAAGAAGAGGAAAAGATGAGAGAAAAATGTTAGTGAATACACTTTTCTTCATTAGAAAATTTCTTTGCTTACAAAATGACATTTTTCTCTTTTAAATATTTAATAGATGATGAGCTTTTGTCGTTTCTAAAACTTACCTGGCTGGGGCGCTCATACGATCACGAAGGTATGGCGTCTGTGGTGAGACTTCCCCATTGCACTTAAGGGCGAGGTTGACCCGCAGGGCGGCTCCGAACTGGGGTAGGCCCACAGCTAAATTTTTGAGTGTGGGGGACAGCGTTCGCGCTTCCCCCTTAAAATCTACACTTTATTAAGCGTGCCTTCTCCCATCCTAAAAATTTAAACTAAAGGTTGTGGTATCGTTTTTATTCAGTCATGATCGAGGTATCATTTTTAAACAAAAGTAGCGAGGATTCTCGTCAATTTTTTTGAATTGTCGTGAATTCAAAAAAGTAGTAAATGAGAAAACTTCGATTCAAAAAATACGGAATGGAATTAGCTGTAGGTGGATCCCTAGTTTTATAATGCAGAGAATAAAGTAAAAAGTAAATTTATGAAAAGGACTACCCGACACCTAAGGATTTTACTTTTGAGGAACCGTCCATTGAGGATCCGACCTTTGAGAAGGCGACCTTTGAGGAATGACTATTGAGGGCCGACCTTCGAGGATCCTCTAATGTCAAAAAGAAATTCTGAAGAAAAAATACGAAAAAAATTTTTCTATTAAAATATTAAAAGTTCTAAATATTTTTTATTCAATTTCTCAAGTATTAATACTCGGCAACAATTCTCTTCGTCATCTTGGAATTCCAAAAAATGAATTAAACGAATTTGGAATTAATCAATTTAAAAATTATTTACGCCAAAAAATAATAAAAAAAGAATATTTTGGGGATTTTACTGAAAAAGTAGTTGAACATATTTCTAATTTTTATTTGAATTATGACAAACCAGAAAAATTGGATAATTGGTTTTATCTGGAAAGGATTGTTTATGTTTGTTCTTTTAAATTATTTATTCAAAAAAGCGAGTTTTAAGTGAGAATTGAGGCTTAAATTTCGTTACAATCTCCCACTTTGAAGTTTAACCTAGAGTTGAGTGGCATCGAGATCACGAGTAAAATCGGGGTTCGAAAAACCGGGATCCCTACCGAACTTATCCCGCCCAACTTTAACTTAGTTTCCGCACTTACAGATGATCTCTAGGCATTTTTCTTTCTTCACCTTTTTTGGAAAACTTTATTAAGGAGAACTTTTATTTTATTTATCTGAATTATACATATCAAGGTATGCTAATATGAGCATACAAACGATTAGATTTTTTAACTAAAAGATTCCACTAAAATAATTTTGAAAAGCGTATAGCTATTTAATTACTAAGGCTATGCAGTAGGCGGCGAGGAGTAACGGATAACACATCAGTCCCGTCTAATGAAGATGCTGGTTTGTCCCAGCCGCCTATTAACCTTTTGCACTAGCTAAAGGGTAGAAATAGCTATAGCCCAGCTGGGTAAAATTGAATTTCGAATACCCCTTCCTTTTTCCTTCCTAAGAACATTAAAAAATGGTCAGTCTGTTAACAGCTTATAGAACTCGTCGAACTGTGTCGGATGATACCAAAATCAATCCCTTGGTCTTAACTTTGGGCCGAGGCCATTTTTCAATAGAGGAAAGAAAAAGGAGGGGAGGGGGTATACCCTCAGCTGCTTTATTAAATTTTTAAACCAAATGTGGATTAAATAAATAATTTTCTAGTTAATGACCGATATTCAATTTATCATTCCATTAGCAACAGAAATTCAAAATAAACAAGGATGGCCTCTCCACATTTACATTAACAAATATATTAATAAAAAATTAATTCCATCGGAAATTAAAATTAAAAGTTTTTTCTAATTAAAAATTTGAGGAGAAAAAATAAATTTAAAGAAAATTTTCACGATAATGACCATCGCTATGTTTTTAGAAATCCATATTCTGATTTTACTTATGACGAAAATGATTTAAAAATGGAGGCGTTAATGACCGATTTTATTTCGAATTTTGTTATTTATGGGCAAGTTTTATTTGAAAATTTAATAAATTATTTTTATAGAGGGGCGAGAACATGGGCAGATTTTAGTGTATAACAGAGGAAGAGTAGGGTTATGTCGAGGAGTCAAGTTCCTTTCCGGATCTTGTCTTGTCGTAAAAGTTTTGAGTAACTCGTCATCTCTCTGTTCAGACGACTCCTTGATACGGACGACTCCTTGATAACTAGGAGTTGCATGTTTCGGATAGATCCTATCCGTCCATTCAAAATTTAATGAAAAGCTCGAGAATAACAGGATAACTTGCTGCTAGGACAACTAACGACCAAAACAAATGTTCAATAGAACTATGCGGGAAAAGTCCCAGATTTCTATATTTTAAATAAAATTACGACTCGAACCGAAATACTAAAGCGATCTCAATTTTGAAATCAACTGGAAGCATGTTTAGGGATACATCCTAAAACGACGCGCGGCCATAACGGCGCAATGCCATAAGCTCTTGTCAATTTTAAAAAATCCCCCTAGCTCGATGAGACAAATCGGTTGATACTAAAGCTGGTAGGATTAAGAAATCGTGAAGCAAGTTATTGGGCTTTCCCCTTTTTTGCCCTTATTTTGGGCGTGCCCCTATTTAGGGATAGAGGGGCAGCCAAAATAATATTTTTTTATTTTTCAATTCAATAGAAATCCATCAACTAACACAATTCTTTGGCCAACTAACACTGCTTCGAATCCATTTTTACATTTAAATATAGACTTGAATGATACCAAAGTAGAAGATACATTTCCACTGGAAAGAATAAAATTCTGGAAAGAAATGGTAGAAACATTTCCAATTTATGATGTAATATTGGGCAAAAGTCTTAAAGAAGAAGGAAAAGCATCTTCAAGTGTTAACCCTATCAAACAGTATCCTTTTATTTTCAATTTTGTGTTACCTGTTATTATGTTAGTCTCATTATATTGAAATACAAATTTGTTTAAAAATGAAGATTTATGGCTTCATTTTTGTTATATTGAAATACAAATTTGTCTAAAAATGAAGGTCTATGGCTTCTTGACTTGAAAAAAGCTATGAAAACTTCTATTTAAAAGTATTAGTGCCTAGGAAAGTGACTTTCCGGAAATCTGGAAAAGCATTTTCCGGATTACTGTGACAATTTTTGTAGACTGGGACAATTTGTAGGGCTTATAACTCGGTCCCCGGTACCATTTTGCTAAAATGGTTCAAGGTACTAGACCGATATTTTCTGAGCCGTTCCTATCGGTTTAGTATCTTGAAAAAGAGTATGCTCTACCTGACTACCAAATTTCATCCCGAAGTCCCACAGACCAGGGTGGGCGCATTGCGTTATTTGCGTTAAATTTTGGCCTTGCGTTGCGTTTTTTGTGATTGTCTCTTGCGCTCATCCCTGCCACGGACACCCAAAACACTTTCCTTTGTTAGGGAACGTCAAAAAAGCGAAACCAAGACTTGCCTCCAACAAAAGGCAAGCACTATCAGCATTTTCGCAGTCCACAGGAAATTATTTTCCGGAAATTACCACTTATTTAGTTTAAAAGTGAATTTTGCCCATTGGCTAAACTTTTGCTAAACCTTTCTGGTGGCGCAGCAGGGAATCCCACTTGCTGTTATGGTAAATCAGCCGAGCCATGGTTAAAATCGAAATTTCGAATCTACTCTGAGTGAAGGGCCCTCTCTAAATAAAAAGCTTTGCTATTTTAGCTATTCACGTGTTTATTTAAATTCAAATTAAATATTAAAAATCTGTCTCTAAATTTTCTATACTATTTTCCATTGCCCTTGCAATGGAAAATATTTTCCTTTGCCCTTGCTTTAGCTAACAGCCAAGGCTAAGACAACCCACCCATCTTAATTACCCAAAAATGTCCTTTCTTAGAGAAGCTTTGGGAGTCGCGATAGCTAATATTAATTTTATTAAAGTAAGAATTCAAAAATAAGTCCTAGCTACTTGATTGCCATAAATAGCTATTTCTAAATTTTTAAATAAAAAATTTTTTCAGAAGGTTTATTAAAAAATTTCTAAGTAAAATTCTTTGCTAGAATGTTTTTTAAAACATTCTTCAAAGCATTTATTGCCTTCTGTTTTATTGGATTTGATTCCCTTTTCGTCGAAGGAATGCATCCTCCTCGTGGTAAAATTTCTAGTGTTTTTATAAAAAAACTTTTCAACAAATTCTTAAAATAGGGAGGATGAGAACTGGAGAAGGCCAAGGCCAAGTCAATCGGAACACGTTCTCTCTAACTGAGTTGTCCTTATTAATGAAAATTCTGGATAGAATTGAATTAGCTGATGTTTACAACGATTCTGCCTCTATTGAGCGCATACTCAGGCAAAAAGGAGCTGAAGTTCTAGCTGAAACTGGATTGTCGGAAAATGATCGAATCATTAATGATTTTAGACAGAAAATCAGAGGGGTATTCATATTATATACACAATACATAGAGTTTCACCGGAAGTTCCGGTTCCGGGAAGTGGAACTAATATTGGATCCTGTTCCGGCCAAAATTTCGGTTCCGGTGAAACACTAATACACAAGCAAAATTACTTGCTAGAATAATTACTTTTACACAAGCAAAATTACTTTTAGTGCTCAGGAAAATTACCTTCCGGAAATCGGAAAACATTTTTCGGATTACTGGGACACGCCAGATTTTTGTAGTCTAATTCAGTCCTGAAATATTCCGAACTGACTTTTCAACCCATTAAATTTTTTAAATTTAAAGGTGTTAACTTATTTTACGCGAATTCTTAACACCTATCAAAGGCAATTACATTCCTATTATTTAGCACTTTCGGATAGAGAAACTCAACTTCTTTTTATTAATAGAAGAATCGATGATTATAAACAAGGTGTTGAAGTGGATGAGTATAATCAATTTATTGAAAGTTATGGGTTAAATATACATGAGTTTGGTGAAGGACGAGATTTGGCCGATATTCCTGCTTCATTATGGACTATTGGGTGAAGTTAAAATTTTTTATGTAAATTACAGTAAATCCTCTAATTGAACCACGTGCTATTGGAGAGTGTGGTTCTATTAGAGTATTTACGGTATGGAATGTCTTGGAGTGTATTTTATTGAGCCAATTTAGGAGTTATTGAGCCAATTAGAGAGTATCAGGGATCGCACCGACAGAAAAACAAAATTCCCGATTTCGGGAATTCCCGATTTTTTTCAATTCCCGATTTCGGGAATCGGGAATTCACGACCAAAAAAACGTCAGGAATTCCCGATTTCAGGAATTTTGTTGGTTTTGGCGTGAGGTTTTTGGGGTTGCTGCTTTATGGCCTCCTATATCTTCCTTAATCCATTAGAATACCCTTATTTACCTCAATATCCCGCCGAATTCCTCAATACCCCTCATAATCCTTCACATATACTCACACTAATATTATTTTTCCTGAATAAAATAAGAAGAAAAAGAAGATATAATAAATTAATAACTATAATTTTATTACAAATTTAGTAATTTTGAATCAGGTCAACTTGGACGCTTTTTAGTTCAAATTTTTCAAAAAGAGATAAATTTATTTCTCTATTACAAATTGCATGTTTTAGCACGCAGATTGATCCTGTCATTTATCCAAGAAAGTTCGAATGCATACAATGCTCTTTTTGAAAATTTACCTGATCGTATAGATGAGGACAATATTGCATTTAAGTAATGTTTTGAACAATGTTTTCCACTATTTTTTAAATTGGATTTTTCAAAATTTCATTCCTTTTCTCAAGTTTTTATTAGGAAAAGTTTAGAAAATGTTTTTATGATCTGGATTAAATAATTCTTAAGAAGGCAAAATATACCGTATTTTCTCTATTAGAATGCCACTCCCCAGTAGAATGCCAGTCTCTAATAAAATGCCACCTTGAAAGATGATTGAAAAATAGAATGCCACTCTCTATTTGAATGCCAGTCTCTTATAGAATGACACCCTTTTTTATTAATGAAAATTTTTAACTATAAGAAATATTTGATCCAGTAATGCCGTTGCTCAAATTTTCCGGGATCCAACCAAGAAACTATTTCAGTATATCAGGGGATTTGAGTTATATCGGATGATATTGGTGGATAAAGTGATTAAGCGGATTTAGAGTGATATGGGGGAATTTATGGCGATCAAGAATTATATACCTAATCAGATTTGAGGAATAAAGAGATTAGAGATATTTTAGTATTAGAAGGGAGATATCGGTGATTCAAGGGAACAAGAATGATATAGGGATTAAGAGGGATATTAGTAGATGAGTTGTAAGAGGGATATGAGCAGATTCGAGATTAATTGATAATACAGAGGCTACTTGGAGGTTTGAAAAAGTTTTTGCCGCTGATACTGAATTATTGTATAGTATAATTACAATTTTTGTGTATTTGTCAAATAATTCGAAAATTTTAAATTTGGGTATTAGTAATTTGGGTATTAGTAATTTGGGTATTAGTAAATTTGGGTATCATTTAAATTTGGGTATTATTTTAGCATTTTTACTATTTTTGTTTAAAAATAAAGCTTGAGTCAATGGGGTTTCTAGTCGGAATTTTTTTCAAATTTTAAAATTTACTCATCGAGAAATAGAATGCCACTCTCCAGTTGAATGCCAGTCTCTAATAGAATGCTACTTTAAAAGGTGATTGAAAAATAGAATGCCATGGCATTCTAATAGAGAAAATACGGTACATAAGTATTGGCTCTTAGTATCAATACCAGTGGTACCGAAAAGTATCGAGTCGGTACTATCGGTAGTACCGCGGTAGTACCGCGGTAGTACCGAACTGTGCCGAACACTACTTTACTTGTCGTTGAATCGTGTTTAGTTTCCAGGGCGGGGGATCATTGTGTACCGGCCGTTTGTGTACCTGGCCATATTTTGGGCCATAACTTTTTCAATTCTTAATTGATTTAAATAAATAATATATCAATTGAAAGCCCTGGATGTGAGGATTATTTTCGCCAACAGAATGGATTTGATCGGATCATCATACAAAAAGTTACAGACAGATAAAGATCAAAATCACGATTGAGCGCATTTATCGAGATATAACTTTTTATAACTTGATCTGATCAAATCAATCCTGTTGGCGAAAATAATCCTCACATCCAGGGCTTTCAATTGATATAATAATAATTTAAGTCGGTTAAGAATCAAAAAAGTTATAGCCCAAAATATGGCCAGGTACACAAACGGGCGGTACACAAGTGGGACGTTCCGGTTTCCACACTCCGCTTTTCATAATCATTAGTTTATCAGAGTGATAAAAAATTAACCGGGCATTT